CTTACCGTGCCTCAGTGTATTTTGACTGCATTTAAATATTATTAATATCAAAATATCATTAACATGTCTGCGAGTTATGATGGAACAAGTAAGAGTAGTAGAGCTGAGAATAATGAAAAGTGAGTGCATTTGTCTTCTTGAACTTATTTTAGGGGAAAAGATTTTCCAATGGGACAGGATTTTTACAGGTTGGGCACAGTTCCTTTTTCGGGGAAGTATTACTATAAAAGGGAACTATTACTCTTTTCAGTAATAAAACATTACTTAATTGGGGAATTTTTGTCACATTTTTTAAATAATGCCTCTAATCCATTTATTAAATAAAAAGTGCATAAAAAATACAGTGTGATGTGTTTTATCTTTATCAAACAAACCTTGCTGACTGAAAAATTCGGACCTCCATTGCTGCAGACAAGAGTAAGATGAGATTTAATAATTTTCCTTGTTGATAAATGGTACCAAAAGTATGGAATCTAAGAAGGGCATTCGTTCTATGACCATTTTAAAAGAATGTCGTTTGAAATTTAATATTTCAAATAATTATTTTCATCTGTAAAAGAAGCAATGATATTTAAAATTATTATTACGATTTCATTTAAAGAAATAGTATAAAATTAAATTAGAACGAATAATCTCACGAACGGGTTAGCAAGTGCTGAACGTATCCATTATCACAATTTTAACACAGGTAAGCTACCGTAAGAAATCTATATCATAGAAATATTTCATCACTCTTTTTCAGCTTTTTGCAGCAATAAATATTGCAGTTTTGAGCACACATACACTTAATAGACAATAAATATTAGAGGATGTGAAAATATTCTTGCACTTTATCTTTTATTCAAAACAAACAAGAGAATAGAGACTAAATGAGTGAAAATTCCCGAATTCAGTAATGTTTTTATGCCCCGCCATGAATATGGCCGGGGCATATAGTGTTTGTCATGTCCGTCTTCTGTCCTTCCGTCTTTCCGTCCTTCTGTCCTTCTGTCCTTCCGTCCGTCTGTCTTCCGTCACACTTTGCGTTTAGCTCTGTTCAAAGCTAAGTTTCTTTGAAACTATCCAAGATATTTTCATCAAACTTCATATGCTGATAGATATTGATGAGAGCTATGCAACTGCATCAACATTTTTTGACCCTGACCTTTCCTTTGACCTTGACCTCGCTTTTCTTAAATTGGTGTTTAGCTCAGATTTGAACATACCATTCAAGTTGGTGTTATCAAACTTCACATGTTGATACAAACTTGCATGGATGATGCATCTATAGATGAACACTACCAGACTTGCTTCGGATGCTGGATCTGACCTACATTTTCCAGATAAGTGACCAGGTTAAAGTTTTTGGAGCAGGTCCATTTCCAAGGAACTATAAGCCCTACCCAATCCAAACTTTCATGGACGATGCATCTAGGGATGAACACTACCAGACTTGCTTCGGATGCTGGATCTGACCTACATTTTCCTGATGAGTGACCAGGTTAAAGTTTTTGAAGCAGGTCCATTCCTAAGGAACTATAAGCCCTACCCAAACCAAACTTGCATGGATGATGCATATAGAGATGGACACTACCAGACTTGCTTCGGATGCTGAATCTGACCTACATTTTCATTCCCAAGTAACTATAAGCCCTACCTGAACCAAACTTGCATGGATGATGCATCTAGGGATGGACACTACCAGACTTGCTTCAGATGCTGGATCTGACCTATATTTTAATTCCCTAATAACTATAAGCCCTGCCTGAACCAAACTTGCATGGATGATGCATCTAGGGATGGACACTACCAGACTTGCTTCGGATGCTGGATCTGACCTATATTTTCATTCCCAAGTAACTATTAGCCCTGCCTGAACCAAACTTGCATGGATGATGCATCTAGGGAAGGACACAACCAGACTTGCTTCGGATGCTGAATCTGACCTATATTTTCATTCCCAAGTAACTATAAGCCCTGCCTGAACCAAACTTGCATGGATGATGCATCTAGGGATGGACACTACCAGACTTGCTTCGGATGCTGAATCTGACCTATATTTTCATTCCCAAGTAACTATAAGCCCTGCCTGAACCAAACTTGCATGGATGATGCATCTAGGGATGGACACTACCAGACTTGCTTCGGATGCTGGATCTGACCTACATTTTTATTCTCAAGTAACTTTAAGCCCTACCTGAACCAAACTTGCATGGATGATGCATCTAGGGATGGACACTAACAGACTTGCTTCGGATGCTGGATCTGACCTACATTTTTATTCCTTAGTAACTATAACCCCTACCTGAACCAAAGTGATCAAATTTTATACACATACGAATTTTCATGTTGCTTTACTAAATATCCTTGGCGGGGCATTCATGTCCTATGGACATATTTCTAGTTTATTACTGAAAAGAGTAATAGTTCCCTTTTACAGTAATACTTCCCCGAAAAAGGAACTGTGCCCAACCTGTTTTAGCCCTGAATTAGAGATTGTATTATAATATTTTATTAAATTTGTAGTCATTCCCTATGCTCCTTTGATATTTCAAGTCAAAATTATCTCACAGTGAACCTCTACCACACTGGAGTATTAGCACAATACCCTGATAAAGGTTGATCAAGGTATTTTATGAAATGAAAATTAAAAAAAAGATCTTTAAAAATTAAATACTGAAAGTCAAGTTCTGAGTTGTTGTCAGTAAATTCACCCTTGCATGTAAAGTACTCATGCAAACCCAAAGAAATCAGTATAAAAGCATGTCATCGTTCTTTTATGCTGTCTTTTTAATACCAGAGTGCTTTTCATGCACGAGTGGACACACTGACAACAACTCGTAATTCGACTTTTAAATTTAATTTTTAAAGAATTTTTTTTGTATTTTCTGTACATAAAATACCTTAATCAAGGTATTTGAATGTAATACCTTGATAAAGCTATATAGCTTTAACAAGCTATATAACTTGATTAGGGTATTGTGCTGGACCTGATTAGTCCTTCTCAAACTGAACTTGCATGAATGATGCATCTAGGGATAGGGATTTTCTGGATGAGTGCCAATAATAAAGTTTTTGAAGCAAGTCCATTCTCAAGTTATTTTAAGTCATACCCAACTTGCATGAATGAGGCATCTAGAGACACCACACCAGAACTGCTTTGGATTTTGGAATTGGCCTTCGTTTTCAGTTGCAGCAGCATTGCCAATTTAAATTTTTGGAACAGAACCATTCTACCTAGACTAAAGATGACATTACTAAATTTGCTTGACTTGCTCCACATTTTCCAGATGAGGGAACATGCTGAAGATTTTGCTTAATGTCCACTCCTTAGTAAATTCGAGCCTCACCTTTACCAAACTTGCATGGAAGATACATCTAGGGATGTACATTAATTACCTGAACTGCATAGGATGATGGATCTGACCTACTTTTATATAAAAGTGTCCAGCTTAAATTTATGAAGCAGGTTAATTCCCAGGACTACCTTATCTACAGGGATGGTCCATCTAGGGATATTAATACCAGCCTTGCTTTGTTTGCTGTGTCTGAACTACATTTTGTAGATGTCAATTGTCAATTTTTTTTATGCCCCCCTTCGAAGAAGGGAGGGCATATTGCTTTGCTGCAGTCTGTCAGTCGGCTGTTGTTCCACTTAGTTTCCGTTCATTTTCTTCACAACCGTTGCACATACTGAAATGAAATTTGGTATACAGATATATCAGATGAATATCTAGATCAAGTTTTGTTTTGGGTACAGTTGCGCCATTTTTAATAGAGTTATGCCCCTTGGATTTAGAAAAATTCCATTTATTTGCAGTTTCTGTTCATTTCTTCACAGAGGTTGCACATACTGAAATTTGGTATACAGATATATCAGATAAATATCTAGGTCAAGTTCTGTTTTGGGTACGATCGCACCATTTTTGACAAAGTTATGCCCTTTTGGACTTAGAAAAATTCCAATTTGGGGGAGGAGGCCTAAGTGTTTTACAAAAATATTTTGTATGGTGTAGATCTGTCCTAAAGTACATTGTACCTCTAAGGTCTTCCGTGAAGCAAACTTCTTGCATGATGCACAATATATAGAATGTATATTTTATAACATAAAATGCGATATGAATTAAGTGTTGCTTTTGTATTTGGACATAGGTTCAGTTCTTCATGATACACTATGTTCTATTTCAAGATCACGTTCTTTCTTAGATACATTAGCTCTCTGATATTCAAGTTTCTTGTCACCACTTTTATTTTATACATGAATCACTAACAATCTACTAAGTGCACTTCAAGATCCTTTAAAAAACTTTGTTACATGTTTTGTTATGAGAATATTCCAAGGTATTAACCATTGTTACTTTTATTGAAGGTCCACAAAAGACTTCAAGGAGTTGATAGACAAAGAAGAATATGAGTTGAGAAAGCGCCTCCCAAGGAAATTGCCCAAGAGGAAAACAGATGTGTATGTTACCAGAAAGACTAATTTTAACTGTCAGCTGGAGAGATCACAGAAAATCCTGGATTCTGAAAATGAGGTTTACATTCATGGTCTTGGTGCAGCAATAAACAGGGCTATAAACCTGGCCTTACAGTTACAATCCAAAGGTCAAGGTTCTGTGGAAATGTCTGCTCACACTTCAACCGTCGAATTAGTTGATGACCTTGAACCTCAAACAGATGACCTGGAAGCAGAAACTCAGTCAAGGAATAATTCTGCAATTCATATTAAGTTGTTTAAAATAAATCCACTAAAGGTTGAGCTATCACAAGACAAAGGTGAAGCATCATGATAATTATTGTATTTCGTTATATGAATGAATTAAATTTGAGTCATGATTTTAAAGTCTTGTTATAGTTTACAGAGTACTTTGAACTGTTCTCTACATGCAGATGTAAAGGAATCATTTTATAAAGAAATAAGTCAATATACAGAAAGTGTTCTTTCTCTTTTCGACCTTTTTTTAGAAAAAGTTCGGGGGATGGGATGGGGTTGGCATATGACACATAAGATATAAAAGATCATATTACTGTGGAATCATCAATGGTTTTTGGGAACCAGTGTTCGTGGATTTTGTGAGTCAACCTTATTCCCGGGGGGGGGGGGGGGGGTCTGTCCCCAGGAACCTGTGCTTTTTTTTTTTTTTTATTTCTCTTCACAGGGGACTCACTTCCTAAATTATCAATGAGTATTTTGTCAGATTTTTTAAATTGTTTTGTTTTGTGTTGGTTTTATTGTTTGTTTTTCAGACTGTTTTTGAAAGAATATTCGAAAAATGAATTCATACGACTAAGTCATGGAACGAGTTGTCCGAACCTGTCTAGAGATTGTAAACAAACTTTCACGCCATGAAAAAAGGTTCTTTGCTTTTTCCCTCTCGTTATGTCAGTTCGCACTGTCTTGTGACCTCCCTTGAAAATTTTAATGTGAAAGAGTGTTAAATTTTTCTTTGACACGACAAAAATTGTGAGAGAACAAGAAATCGGCTTGCCAACTGTGGATAGAATTTCCTCTGTTATAGGCTAGTTCTTCAAACCGGTGATTGTTTTTATGGTATAGGCCTATCCATTCATGATCTGTTAATGTGTTTATTAATCCTGATCATCGGACATTCCTAAGTTTGTTTGGGTTGATTGAACTTGTTTCTTTTATTGATTGAGTTAATTACATCTTTATCGTCTTTCTGCACAGGTCTTGATCAATATGATTATTTTCAACCACAAAAGACATATTCATGAATAAATTATGAAGACAATTTTATGCCAGTAAATGAAAATGGAGTATGTAGAATGTATGAAAACTGGGTACAACCCTGCCCATGTTCAAGTGGCTTGTGATGGAATGTTCATAGGACTGCCATTGACAAGAACAACAGTGGGTGTTTGGAATGTACAAGATCCATCTGCTCAGGTAGTTTTAAATTTGTCAATTTTAATATGAAAGAATTAACTGTCTATCTGAAGTCTGATAAACTCATCCACTCAAGGAAAGGAGAAAGTGATATTGTAGTTTTGATGAAACGACTTCAATATATAGTAGAGAATAAGTACTTGAACAAGTAAAATTAATGTAAAAACTGACAGATTTATTATAATCAAACAGCAATATTTTATATTCCACTTAATTTTTTCTAGAGAATCCATGCCATGTTGTTTAATATTCTCTATATTTTATATAAAAATATTTACTGAAACCTAATTATTAGAAGTTTTATATCTTAAATGCATTGAATTGAAATGAGATAAATTTCTGCAATATACAGTAGTTACATGAAATTTCTTATAACTGAAAATGATTATACTAAAACATTTGAATTAATATTTTAATTTAATAAAGATATAAAGTGTACAGAATCTTGCTTATATCAGTACTACTTTTGCCATCTGAAGTTCTATTAAGTAATGAATATTTACATCTGTAGCCATTGAAACTTGAAGGACACAGGAATATTCTCACCAGTTTGGTGCTAGGGAATGTTTCAAAACCCAAAAGACTGTGTTCTGCAGCAGAAGACTACTTGATTGTGTGGAACATTCATCAGGCTCAGGAGAAGGCAGTGAAGGGTAGAGACATCAATCATCAATCAAAAACTTGTCATACTCAATTTATTCAAGAAAGTTTAAACAGTTTTGCTAAATTATTTTCTTCAGTATTTGATGTATGCATACTGCAGTAATTCATAGCTTAATTTTTAGATGAGCAGATAAAAGGCGTGATTATAGGTACAACACTTGGGTACATACAACACTGTGCATTTAGTCCTGATGATTCCCTTGTGGCAGCCTGCAATAATAATGATGTTCTTATTCTGCGTTCTAATGTAAGTTTATTAATTAATAGACAAATTACACAATTAACAACAAATTCACAAACATGCAAGTGCTGACAAAAAGGCATATTTCGTCTGTAAATAACAGTTTCCATTATTTTCAGAAATCGGAGGTAATAGCTGCACTAGAGGGCCACATGAATCGAGTCACTTGTGCTGAATTTTGTCCTCATTACTCATCAACTCTAGTCACAATATCTGAAGACAGAACATTCAAGGTTTTGACTTGTTTTTATGTTTTGTATTTATATGCTCTTTTTCTGTTAAAATTCATTTGTAAAACATGGATTTGATATTCATTTCTATCAAGAATAAATTGTCATGTATCTAATATTTTAAATTGTATCAACAGGTGGGAAATAAAGATCCTTTTTTGTTCATTTTACCCAATCATATCTCAGTGCATGATGATCACTTTTTATAGGTATGGAACATAGCAGACCTATCACTGGTCTACCAGTCCACCATTATCACTGCCTCCCCATTCATCAGCATGACCATGAACTTTCACCTACCCCAGGTTGCCATAGGAACGGCGGATGGGATTGTGAGAGTATTTGACTTGTCTGATGGAAAAGATTTTCGGTGTGTTCATCAAATTAACATTGGAAAAATAATGGATAAATATCGCCTCAATAAAGAGCAAGCACTGCCGACACCAAGATCTTCAAAAGATGGTAATAAGAAGTTTGAATGTTTAGTTATACCAGTATTAATATGTTCAGTTCTCGGAAAACTTTTAAAGAAATTTATCAGCTCTTTGAATCTTATGTTTACTTTATTCATCAAAATGAAGCCTATTAAGCTAATTTTAATCTATTGGTCATAAAGAATAAAGAAAAGATTGTAACAGTAAAGATCTTAAGGAAAAACTAGCGTTATATTACAGGTCCAGTGAATTCTGTCACTGGTTGAGATCTTGTTGTTATATTACAGGTCCAGTAACTAGGGATGTGCGATTTTATCGGTATACCGGTATATCACATTTTTTTAATGCGTGATACATATCGTGATACAGAGACCTAAATACCGGTATTTAGTAGGGATGGGTATCGCCAAAAATTTCATATCGCGATATATCACGATTTTTTCCCACAATATCACGATAATATCATGATATTTTTAAAAGCAGTTTTTACAATGATTTTATATGAAAAGTCATTATTTTTCTAAAAAATATGCTAGAAAAACAAAATTTTACTTTCTTGAAATTTTTATGTACATAAAATCAATTATGTTTGGATGGTAAGATGCCGTTCTTTTCACTTTTTACAACATTTTTTATACTTTCTGTAATTGTAATTTGAAAGATTGAACAAATAAATGAATAATCTCTGAACTTTATAATATGTACCTAAAGACCAGTCTTTAGGTCTCCGTATCACTGTACGTATCACGCAACAAAAAAATCACGATATACCGGTATACCGATAAAATTGCACATCCCTAGTATTTAGGTACATATTATAAAGTCCAGAAATCATTTATTTATTTGTTCAATCTTTCAAATTACAATTACAAAAAGTCTAAAAAAAAAATGTTGTAAAAAGTGAAAAGAATGGCATATCCTACTATCCAAACCAATCTCCCATGCAGAGTTGTCGTTCGTTCCTCTCTCAGACACCTCTGCAATGGGCTCAAGTCAAGATTTTTGACATACAATATAAAATGTAATATTTGCAAGATTTTCCCAAATTAAAATAACAGTTCAGGATTTATTTAGTAAATATCTACCTCAAAACTCAGACATAACACCATAGCAATTGATTTATAATGAATTAAAACAAACGCACTATTTCTTGTGTTTATCACTGTGATATACGCGAGCCAACGACAGAGGTGAATGCATGAGCCGATGGTAGAGAGTGCATCCACATGATTAATTTTATGTACCGGTACATAAAATTTTTTTAAAAAGTGAAATTCTTTTTTTCTAGCGTATTTTTATGAAAAAAATGACTATTTATTTAAAATCATTGTAAAAATTGCTTGTAAAAATATCATGATATTATTGTGATATTTTGGGAAAAAATCGTGATATATCATGATACGAAATTTCTGGCGATACCCATCCCTACCAGTAACTATCAGTAGTAAGTGATGTGTTATATTACAGGTCCAGTAACTATCAGTAGTAAGCCCTCCTATCAGAGACGAGGAGACGGGGGAGAGCCGAGGGAGGAAGTGTCCGTACAGGACGTGGCAGAGACAGGATGTGCTGTTCTCGGTCTCTACTTCTCCTGGGTCCCAGAGGATGACAGAGGAAGCTCCGCTCGATCTGTCGGCTTCCTACAGCGAGCTAACACTATGATCAGGTACATTTAACAGCATGTTCCATACACATCATTGTGATAAAACTAAGCTCATATATCATTATTTCTTGTGTTTTTTATATCTTGTCAAAATAGAAATTATTATTTTTATTCGAATGTCTTTAATTTTGAAATCTGTTTTATAGAGACCTCTTCAGTGCTTCTCCTATGTTAGTAGTTGGTACTACAGGAGCAATTCTTCAAATAAATGCCAAGACAATGGAAGTTATCCAATATTTTGATCTACAAGGTGCATATATTTTTTGAAGTTTTACCTATTAAAATTTGAAGAGCTATTACATGAGTTAACCTGTGTTTTCTTCCATAGATCCGATACCTCCAACATCAGATGGTAGGAAGGAAGTGTGCATTAACAATGCTGGTTCTGCTTACTTCAGTCAGGGGGAGGAACCAGAAAAGGTCAGGCTAAATACAACAGCACAGCAGAAATTCACAACTTATAGTCAACAGTATAGAGATGATCTTGTAAAGTTTGCTAACGATGTCTTTTCACTAGTAAACAAGATAGATACCAGTCTTATGATACTGTTGAGCTTGTCTTATTTTGAGGATACCTGTATATTGATTTCAGATATTCTGTGTCATTGGTAGCCATTTTCAGAATCATGTTCATTTATTGAAATGGGACCATGCCACATCAAGATCAAAACCCTACAACTTTAGCTCAAGTATAGAGGATTTATCAAGCCTCTCTTCCGAACTGCCAGCCAATCAAACGTCAGACAATAAATCACCCAATTTAACTGTACTATCCAGGTAAACTCCAGACTTCTAGGATTAGTACAATGAACTTTTGTACATATATCTAATTGACAATTTTATCATTTCTTCATTCTAGTACACTGTTGTGATTATTTGTATGATGTTTTGTTGAAATGGGAGAGGACAATGCTGAGATGAAGATTTATTTATATTGTACAGATCTGTACTACAATAATCTGCTCTACTTGCAGTGATCCCATGTTGCCAAATTCAATCCTCAAACAAGGTCTGGTTCCTAAACAAAAAGAAGAGGCCTCCTCTAAAAAACAGAAAGGTGTTTATTAATTCCAGAACTGGGTGATGCATTTCAGAAGTTGAAGTTTGGGTTTATTAAAATCTGTTACTATAAATGTACTTAAACTGTTATGGCAGTATTCATATACAGTTCAACTTCTGTATCTCGAACATCGATATCTCGAATACCTTGGACATGTGAAAGTGATTTGGAAGTCCCAGTTTCTTATTCTGACTTTAAATACACTACTCTGCCCTGGATATCTGGAATCCTTTTCCTTGTATGTCTCAAAGTTTTTGATTGAGTCTGAGATTAAGAAGTTTGACTGTATTTTGATCATGCTGTTTCTTGTCGGCTTATTTATGCACACACCAAAATATGACGAAACCAATACATGTACATGTCTTCGTTAAAACTTGTATGTTAATTTAATGTTAATGCAAATCAATTGAAGAAGATGATTGCACTAAATTTTGAGTGCACTCATTTATGTCAAGCATAATGAAATAGTGATTAAAACACATTAAAAGTAAAATTGATAAATTAAGCAGGTGAAAGAGTTGATGTAATGAAAATTGATTTTATGCAAGCAGGGTACCTTTCTCCAGGAAAGCAAGGTCAAGGTGTGAAAGATCAACCCCTGACTTTTCAGAGTAAAATCAAGTCATCAGGCTACACTGAGGCTCCCAGGTAATTACATTGTATGATTGTACGGTCACATTTATGTCTAGTTGTAATTGATACTAAGGCAACAAGGGACAGCTAGACTTTTCCTACAATGTATGAAATGTCAAAGTTTTGATTGTTTTTTATTCTCTTTTAAGAACAACCATGTTTAAACCAAAAACAAGTTCTACAAAACAAACATCCACAATTAAAAGGAAACAATCTACAGATTTACTAGAGTAAGTGGTGACATAAAACAGAGTAATTTCTTATAATTAATATTTGTATTATAAAAGTGTTGTTGAATATTTTCACTTTCAATGGGCACATTAACTTAAGTTCTTTTTTTATGCTTCTTAGTATATGTAATGTTTATTTATTAAGTATTTAATAAGACACTATTTTCCATAAAAGGAATGCTTTAGAGAAGGAATACCCTGCCAATCCTGGTCCTCCAAAAGACTTTGTGTGTGGTTGGGAAGTTGCTGAAAGACCTACTCCTGTTAATGCAATATCTTACTCTGGTATGTCTTCAACTTTAACATCAATACTCACTTTTACATGTTTTTATTAAAATTCTTTTTTGCTCCCTTCTGCAAAGTCAAGATAAGCTTATGCTTATACCCTGCAATGAAGTTTTAGGAGCAAGTTTCATTTCCAAGTTACTGAGCCCTACCTGAAAAAGGTAGGTGAGCTTTGTAATCTTTGATTACTCATATTTATGCCCCCCTTTGAAGAAGGGAGGGCATTTGCTTTTCTCTGTTTGTCAGTCGGTCGGTCTGTTTGTCTGTCCGTCCACCAGTTTCCATTCATTTTCTTTGCAGAGGTTGCACATACTGAAATGAAATTTGTATGCAGATTTATCAAAAGAATATCTAGATCAAGTTTTGTTTTGGGTACGATTGAGCAATTTTGACAGCGTTATGCCTCTTGGATAGGGCTGGGACGATACAACTTTTTCTATATCGATACGTATCACAATATTTGAGCCACGATACGATATGTATCACGATATGTTTAATTGCTTATAAAATCTTTTTTTGCATTGAAATAAACAAATTATTTCTTTGCAAATGAGAATAATTTATTCAAAATTGTTGCTTATGTGTTGTAAAACAAAAATATTTGACTCAAGTGGTGTTTATTATTTATTTCATATCTTTATTTATATTTAGCTTGTTTATTTTATATATTTAACCCCAAATGTTAAATAAACAAGGAAAAACAGAAGTCAGATTTTTTGGGGGCGACATTTCTTCATATGTATCGATGTATGTGTTTCATCCTCACATATATCATGATATATCGATATATCGTTCCATCCCTACTCTTGGACTTAGGAAAATTCAATATCCAAAAGGAGGGGGGGGGATATGTGTTTCACAAACGTCTCTTGTTCATCATTCCATTATGTGTGTATTTATAGGAGATGGCCTTAGTCTAGCCTGTGGTCTTGCCAACAAGTCTGCCCAAGTGTTCAAAATTCCATACAAGGAAAAGAAAAGTTATAGTTTAGGTAACTCATAGTACAAGTTTTCACATCCTAAAAACAGAATGTGTGTTTGATACATGTAAATGCTTCAACTCTTTAATTGACAATGAAGTTACATGTACATGTAGTTCTTGCTTATTTTCATATTTTTCTTTCCTCTGCAAAAAATTGCAATTAAATATAAAAATATTAGATACATGTATATGCATCAATATTATGTACATTGTAGCTCACAACCACATTGTAAATGATGTGCGATGGAGTTGTGATTCCAACTGGTTGGTAACAGCTTGTGATGATAAAACAGTAAGGCTATGGCAACGGGGTCAAACTGAGGCTGTCCTCACCATAGCAACCAAACTCCACAACCTAGCAGAAGGAGAGGGACAAAAGAAAGACAAGGTTATTCTTTAATTAATTATCACAGATGCTTAATCTGCTCCTTTGTATAGAATTGTTAATGTTAAAATAGTACAGTTCTGGGAGTTTTTCATTCTGTGAGCTATATAAGGCATGTTTATGTTTTTAAATAGGAAAATGCACCATTTCCTAAGGAGATTAAAAATGCCCAGTTCTATTATATGGACCGGTTCCTGATATTAACCTCCTCTAACACACTGTACATGTACAAATACCACCTGGATCCCACTAAACAAGATATCAAAAGGTCAGTGCCAACAACAAAATGGATATCGGTATTTTGAATTTAAACTACCCGGTAGCTTTCATGCTAAAATCATTCCAATTTTCATTGATATCTAGGTATGTGAACAAGAGTAAATTCAAGCAAGTTCAGTCCTTCACAGTGGATGCCCAGTACATCACAGCCATGTCTGCAGTAAACGATTTCTACTCCTGTATCCTTCCTAGACACTTCAGCTGATTGGAAGTTAATACAAAATGTGTAATGCTACTGCATCATTGCAAGCATAGTTAAGGGAGATATAAGATCATGTCTTTCTGCTCTACAAATCATGATTATGCCTTAAATTTGAGAGAAAAGGGCTGCATATAAACTAGACTACTAGAAACATTTTCTTTTATAACTGTGGGTGGTCATTGCATTAAATCATGACTATTTGGTAAATCAATGTCATAAGAAAGACTGTAAAATATATTTCAAGGCTTTATTTTTTTATGGAGAAACCTTATCCTTGATATCAAGTTGTTTATTTAATTTATTTTCTAAGACCTGCATGGGGTAATAGTGACTAGTAAATAAATATTCACTTAACGACAGTTACCGAAAAATAGCCCTACTATAGAGTTAAAATGGCAGGGAATGGGTATTATAATGGTCATTCCTAAAGAAGTTTTTGAAAATAATTTCTTCAATTCTTACTAAGACATAGTGATGTGTGCTGGCAGTAGTAAAACACTAGAGGTGTATGACATGAACATAGGCAAGTGTGTACGAGTCATCTCTGATGTCCATACCAGACCTGTTCATTGTATAAAACAACATGAGGTAAAGTCTCATTAATAGCAAATCTGAATAATCAGTTTTTGTATCTTTTATGTTTGAACATTCCGTAATTCTTCATTTGTGCTTTTAGGGATCTAAGTTTGTCTCACACCCACGTGATGCTTACGATTTATTCCTGACATCTGCAGCAGGTGACTGCATCAAACTCTGGGACCTCCGCGCAAACAGGTCAGAAATTAAAAGACATTCTGGTCATTTAGATCCATTGTGTTTATTGTGTTTATTTAGAGTAAAATTTTCAAGTACTAAGCTATAGTTATGGTACATACAAGGTAAAAGTGTACCATTAAAGTCCAGGAGGGAATTTAAACCCACTTATAATTTCTGAACACATCTGTTAAATTGGCATTCAGCTAGCTCGTATGAATTCCAGAATGTTGCCATGGTAAGAGGTTTCAGTTATTTGATGTGAAATGAAATATGATATTGTATACATTGTGTGAATTACAGATGTGTAAGAAGATATGAGGGTCACCTGAACAGATCATTTCCCTGTGGAGTGGATCTAAGTCCTTGTGGGAAATATGTTGTCACAGGTGCTGAAGATAAATGTGTAAGTATAAATGTAAATTATTAATATTTTTACAACAACAAAACAATTACTCTTTTGCCTAATTCAGTCAGGAAAGGTATTTTGCCAATGCAATCTCTTTGTAAATTAAGGTCTGTCACTATAGTTGTGAACATTCTATTGATGATTTAAAATTTATTTTTCTTTTGTATTGAAAAATGTTTGTGTATTGTTATAGTGCTTGTCAAATGATGATTTAAGATGATTGTGTATCGATGATTTTAAGTGTATTGATAATTTTAGGTGTATGTTTATGCGTTAACATTTGAACATTTCACCTGTGTCTTCTCTGGCACCACTGAACCAATTCTCAGGTTAATAGCTGTAAATTTATCATATATCATCTATGGTTAAATGGTTACTAACAAAAATTGTGAATTTCATCTTTTTTGCCCCCCTGATGACCGCCTGGGGGATGGGAAGCAAAAACCACTAAAATTAAGTCAATTTTGAAATGTCTTCTTTTCTGTTCATCTCAGGACATCAAGCAGTCAAACTGTTGATAGTATGATTTTAAAATCAAAACTGTCAATGAAACACCTTTTCATTTTGAAGTCCAAAATTGTTTTGAAATTCATGGCCCCAGGGTCAACAGTTTGGTGTTACAAGATACCTGGGTATGCTATTGATTATATAGCGAAAATGCAATTATTTCTTGTGAAAATTTATATTTACTGCAATGTGTCCAGATATTAAATAAACTAATTTACACTAAATGTATTAAAATATTATACAAAAGTGTGTTTGTGTGTTCAGGGGTTCTGGTAATTAACAAGGGGGTACTGTATTGTTTATATAAAAAAAATGCACTTTATTCTTTTAAAAGGTGACATGAAAATGTAGGTATTTATATAAACTAATTAAACTTATTATGTCGAACTAGGTGCTTCTACCAAAATTGTGAATTTTATGGCCCCAGGGTATCAAGGGTAAAATATTTAAAGAATCAAGTGTTCAAAATCACTTCACCATATCCATTGTATTATATATCGGTTATAATACATTCACATATATGAAAAATCTTTTAAAACAGGAAAGTCTCTACTCCTATCAAAAAATGATTTTGAACTATTTATATAATTGTTGAATTTGTTATAACGAATTAAATTCGTTAAAACAATATCTTTGAATTCGTCATAATGAATTTAATCCGTTATAACAAATTTGTTGAATTTGTAAACTCGTTTTAACAGATTCTAAAACTTGTTATAACGAATTTAATTTGTTTAAACGAATTCCATAATTTGTTATAACGCATTAAATTTGTTAAAAAGAACTCGACAAATTGTTATATAGAATTCATATATATTTTTCTATAGGCCCTGGTTATTGAATTTGATTAAGCGAATTTAATTCGTTATAACAAACTTTGGAATTTGTTTAAAGGAATTAAATTTGTTTTAACAAACTTAAGAATTTGTTAAAGCGAATTTAATTTGTTATAACAAATTTTTGAATTCGTTTTAACAAATTTAATTCGCTATAACAAATAAAAGAATTCTTTATAACGAAATCAGCAAATTTGTCATAACAGATTACTCAGTAAATTCATTATGATGAATTCAAAGATATTGTTAAAACGATTAAATTCGTTATAATAAATCGCTTAAAACATCGTTATATCAAATTCAAAAATATTTGAAAGTTGTTGCATGGGCTTCCGCTGAAAGAGACTTTCAACTCATTAAGGCAACAATTAATTTGTCACTAAAGTGACCTACTGCCACTGTTCTTTATCCATAATGTATCATCCATTAATCATTGAATGTTTTGAATTTTTTCCGATAATACTATAGTATATTGGCCGATTATCTTCAAATTTCATAAGCTACTTTAAGTTAGAGATGAATCTAAATTGTGATTTAAAAAAATCATTTTACCCCTAAGACTGCTTTGGGGACATGGCAAAAACTTGCTAAGAATAGCAAAATTATCAGAAATCATTTTCTCTATATCATTTAGAAGCAAAACGGAATGTAGGTATGCATGGTTAGAAAAAATGACTTTGTCAAAATGGTTTCTTTTGCCTGTTCTATTTTTTTTTAATTTAATCAATATTTTATTATGTAAAGTAAGATTACATAATTGGATTGGACATCAGGCATGGCCTATATAAGTCCTCTCCAAGGTCAAGGTTACAAATGTTAAGAACTGACAAAAAAATACAATGATGAAAATATTCCTTATAAGTTACATTAAATTCTTTTGTTAACTAACGGTGGGAAAAAAGGGGATAAATTGAATTAAATTATACAGAAGAACTATTACTAAGCTTAAATGCATATTCGCTATACAATATAATGACCAAAAAAAAAAATTCCAAAAAATGAAGAAAAAAGTGCAAACAAAACAGCAAAACAGAATAAGTAAAGTGCAAAGAACTAATATTTAAGAAAATACAAAATAGAAGGAAATAGTAACATTTAAAAGTAAATAAATTCAAGCAATGACACTGAGTAAAGAGAAAGACAATAAAGTGCAAGGACAAATTACCAAGGACAAGCAAATTCAAAGAATTGTGGTCCCCCGCTTTCGGTGTCTTTGTGGGTGAGATGTTATCTTTTATGACATATTGTGTGTAATATGAACATCCTATCATATGTCATGTATTTAGAAAGTAACATTGAAGTTGATTTTTTAAGGATGAAAACCCTAATCCTGACCGTTAAAAAGTTATGGCCAAAGTATAAAGTTTTTTAAAAAGTAGGTCAACTCCAAGGTCAAGACCAAAGGGTCAAAATTGTTGATATCCAATGAAAGGTTTTCTCACAAGGATAACATATGTGAAGTTAAAGCCCATTATGTTCAAAATTTATGGTCAAGGTTATTTTTTGTGTGTTCTTTAAGGTCAAGGTCAAAAAACAGTTGTTGATATCCAATAAAAGGACTTGCCACAAAAACACATATTTGAAATATAATATCCAGTATTAAAAAGGTGAAAAGTTGTGAAAATGTAAAAGTTTTTTTTATAAAAGTAGTTAAAACTCCAATGTCAAGGTCAAAGGGTAAAAGTTGTTGGTATCCAATGAAAGATCTTCTCAAAAGGAAAACATAAGTGAAGTACGAAAGCCCTAGCCCCCACCGTTCAAAAGTTATGGTCAAGGTTAAAGATTTTTCATAAGTACGTAAATCTCCAAGGTCAAGGTCAAAAGGTAAAGGTTGTTGATATCCAATGAAATGTCTTGCCACAAGGAATACATATGTGAAATATAAAAGTCCGACTATCTACTTTTTAAAAGTTGTGACCAAGGTTAAAGTTTTTAAAAAGTAATTAAAAAAAGGTCAAAGATAAAAGTTATTGGTATCCAAGAGAGGTCTTCTCACAGGGATTACATATGTGAAGTAAGAAAGCCTTTGTCCTCATCGTGAAGTTATGGTCAAGGTTAAAGTTTTTTCATAATATATTCTCCAAGGTCAAGGTCAAAAGGTAAAGATTGTTGATATCCAATGAAAGGTTTTGCCACAAACAATACATATGTGAAATATGAAAGTCCTAGTACTTACTATTCAAAAGTTATGGCCAAAGTAAAAGTTTGAAATTTTTGTGTAAAAGTGGGTCAAACTCCAAGGTCAAGGTCAAAAGGTCAAATTTGGTGAAACCCAAAGAAAGGTCTTGTCACAAGGAATACACATGTGAAATATGAAAGTCATAGCTCCACTAAATCAAAAGTTATGGGCAAGGTTAAAGTTTTTCTCCATATCATTAAGAAGTAAAACGGAATGTATGCATGGTTAGGAAAATACACTCTTTCAAAATGTTTTCTTTTCAATCTTTTGCCTGTTTTATTACATACATAGCAGGGGGTTTATCCTCTTGATTATCATATTTATACATGTATATTATGAAAACTGATACACAATCTATGAAAATCTCTTAAATACCGGGTAAACTAAATGAATGGTAATTAAGAAAGGGCAGAAAAACTGGTCTTTATCAAATTACATCACTCACTCGTCTAGCTGTAGTGTTTTTTGCCCTCAGCGTAGGAGAGGTTCTTCAAGGGCCCCAAATTGTCATATTATTTTAATAAAGTGTAAAAATTTATGCACATAATGTCGGAAAAAATAATTTCTTATGTCCTTTATGTTTTGGACAAGTTATAAAATGCTTGGTCTTACTGGAAGAATTACCAAATTTAGAATTTTTAAAAAGTAAGTTTTTGTCTATATACAACATTTTTTTCTCTCACAAATGTTGTAAGTTTATCATATTTGAAAAAAAAGTAGAATCTATATGAAGAAACAAAGGCCTTTTTGAAAGGAGAACTACAACTTTTAGAGATCTTTTTCAGCTCAGCACACATGCACAACAGTTGTATCAACTTTTGAAGGAAAAAATAGTTGAATCAATATAAAGAAACAAATGGATTGATAAGAATAAACGGTATAGGAATAGATTTAATTCAGAAACATTTCAACCTAATGAGATTTCTCCAATCAAAAAGAAAAAAATATTTACGCTGCGAGCAGGGTTCGAACCTGCGCGGGGAGACCCCATTGGATTTCAAGTCCAACGCCTTAACCACTCGGCCATCACAGCTTGCAAATAGATGTTGTAAAATCTATTTATAACTCTTTGTCTGGGATTCATGAAATCTGCCGGCAGTTTACGTCGAATTATACCATCTTTTGATAACCGGTTAACAAAAAATGATCTTAATGAATACTTTTGCTTTTAAATATCTAGTTCCAATAGTGTTACTAAAGGCAGATCCATTTTTTTGTTAATTTAAAATTATCCGGAAAACTACATCTTTTAAGGTACTTCTTGACTTTTACATTGCTAAATAAATTTCCTGTGTGAATTTGTCGGCACATTTCGGTTCATTCAGTCATTGCCGACCTTGAAGAGTGGATCATCATTTTAAACTGAAAAGCAGGTAGATAAAATGATTCCTTAAATTGTGGAGGAAACAAAAATTTATGCGCTTTTCCCTGCGTAAACACACTTTTTTTTGTTCTTCGAGTTGAAGAACGAGAGGTGTACATGAATGTTAATGAAATAAATCTTGCATCATTGCAAACATCCTCGCAATGCCAGGGGTGTTCAGTCATTGAGTCAACACGTTGGCGTATTTCATTAAATATTTTAGGGCTTGCTTCTCTCATTAAAAAGCACCAATCAAATTCAAGCTTTCATAAACAGATAGATAATGTAAACAAAAAGGAATCAAAAGACAAATCATTACATAACCAAAAAGTCCACCTTTTTCATTGTGTATATGTAATATTGTTTTCAAAAGCTAGTGGGTCTGTTTGCCCTATCTACATCATACATGTTCACATGGCATCATATGGTTGTTTTCCAATTCCATGTACGACTCGCATGGTTACAACATGATCGTGTGATTTCGACTTGCTCATTTATACACGAGCATATTTTTAAAATTAATGTCAAGCGAAGTAATGAGTTTTTGATGTAACTCATTGTGATGTAGGCAACCTATTTTATACAATATAACATAAATCTTTTATCCAATCAAATGTCATATTACATTATTAAAGAATGTTCACTTTTTATTGCAGATGATCATAATTAATGAGAGAAAATGTGGCCTGTGATAATGGCAGCAGCAAGGACCTATGCACCATATGTGGCGTTTCCTTTTGCGGTAGTGGTGGGTTTTATAGGATACAATTTTGAGAATTTACTGGGCCGTAATGAAACCCCCTGGAAGGAGGAAAGTATCCAGGACGAAAGGCTGGACAGAAAACTGGACAATATGGTGAAACCGACGGTCACTGATGTACCGATGCTCAAGTCCAAGAGAGACATGCCCAAAACAGTGCTGGACAGAAATGATATCAAAAAACTTAGTGAAACCCATGATAGATGATTGTGTAACATTGATAGTGTTATGTATGCTTGTGATGTTTTTGTATGAATGAAATGCCGAATGTTATATGTTTTTTTAATAAAAGAGTAAGATCACATCATGTTACAATTCATCAGGTTGACTGGATGACTTTGGTGCTATTTTTGTCTTCTTAGTTTGCCCATTATTTACTGTTTTTTAATTTTAACTGCTTAAATTTACTTCTGTAGAAGTACATGTAATTGCTTATTTTGAGGAACTGGTCTCAAAAGGTAATAGAGTAAGAGTTAATTTCTTGAAATGACTTTACACAGGTAGATATGACAAACTACAGGATTACATGTACTTGTTATAAAAATCAAGTCCACATTTTTCCTCATCATTTGTGAACTTCATTCATGATAATTGTCACCTCAGGTCCTGGGGGTAACATGAAAATATGTTCAAACATCTAATGCTCTGGCAAACTGTTTTCATAAATATAATAACTAGACAACCAAAACCAAGAAAAAATCGTCAAATCCATGACTCCTGGATCCAGGCTATGGCAAAACTGGTCATTTATTTACATGTACATTGAACAGTTAAGTAACTGTTAATTTCTCTTTTTACGCGGTTAGCTAGCTAACCGCTTTATGGCATGGGCTCCAAAAAACCGGAAACTTCCATAAGGCGCTACCTATCGACATCGCTTTATGGCACGTAACCTTATCCTTCTGCAACCAAAACCGGAAATTTCCACAAGGCGCTACCTATCGACAACGGTAACTTCAGCAAAGCGCTTCCTATGATATGTATACTGTTGGCGTAATACGCCCCCTGGTGAGAGATTGACAATATGCTGTGTATGAAGAGTGGCTATTATAACGATTATATCGAATTCTTATTTAAGTATTTACCAAAGCATTGACAATACTTAGAACAATAACTTCAAAGAACTGAGAATTTGGTCCTTATTACATGTACATCGTGCGATCGCGATTTATAGCAACTGTTAGTTTATTTTTGAAAGTTGAACGATACGGTTAATTATACAGCAGGTTGAGGGTTATTATCATAGTTTGATTTTCCTTGCCAAAGTATTAAGAAACACCATTTATTAAGTTAAGTAATACCTGAAAAACGCTGTTATAAAAACACCGAATACATCTGTAAGGTTTACACTTTTTGCAACGTTTTTATGGAAACAATAGGATTACCTCCACAATGAAACGTTTGTTTTCTTCTCTTTTTTTCTCTGTCTAATAAACAGATTATAAAAGCTCTGCTTCCAGGGGTAAATTCGCCACCCCGTCTTTGATAATTTATTACAAACGATCATAATTAAGGGATCACTTACTTTTAGTTTTGAAAAAAAATAATGGGGCACTTAAAGTAGTAAAATTGATTTTGAAAAAAAAATGGATAAATATATATTAATCTTAATCGGCATTGTGATCCTCTTCTAAAAATCAACCGACATTATTATTCACAGAAGAATGAGGTATGAAAAATCTTGGCAATTAGCAAAAATTTAAAATATATACTAATGCTTATTTATAATTTTTGAAATTTTGATCAATTCCTAGGGAACGTATCATTAGCTGTGAAAATACTTTTTAAATTTGAATTTATCCAATTTGTCAATTATTATTTTGAGCGTTTGAGAAGAATTAAATTAAAATACAGGTGTTTAGAGGCACATTGATAGAAAAAAAAAATCGGTGTATATTGTTTAACCGACATATTGAAGAAAATGACATTGATAACTTCTTAAGTTACACTGACTTTTAGTGTACATTTGAATTTTTAAATGCTAGTATTGATTGATTAGACAACTTTCCTTTTCACATGTTTTATCTGAGAACAATATTGCATATAGAGTATATGGCAAATACACATTATATGTCCTTATCTAGACATACATGTATTGTGCAAGACTTCTTTTAAATGATTCTCATATACCATTTACATTATTCGAACATTTACTTGTTTGAAAAGTCAATGAAGTACATTTCATAAAGCTTGATAATCTTGTTTACTCACCAGTCTTCCCGTAGAAGTAGTAGTTCATAATATTTCTAAACGGAAGTATCTGTATCAAAATACAGAATGATCAATGATCGATTTAAGAAGAAAAACTGACTCCTGAAAGTTCAAGAGGTGGGATCCGTTGCCTAGAAGAAGTAAGCATCCCTCGTTGACAGGTTACACCCGCAGTGAGCCTACACATCTGAAGCTCTCTGATATCAATTCATTTACAAAGTCTCTGCTCAGCCATCCTTTTTCGCTGACTAGCCAGCTGTAGATCTACACTACTCCAAATCAATTAATCTAAAGAATTTAACTTGTCATTTTTTTAGTTGTTTGCTATAGTAGGCTTTACAATTACGTAATTTCAGATTCAATAGAGCATGAATTTAAAGGCAATTAAATTTTCAACATCAACATAATTGTTTTCATCCAGAGAACGATTGGATGCCACCAAGAGAGAAGTTTTAAAAATGCACTTCCTGTCTTTCAAACTGAAGAAATCTCATGTTTGAATTTTGAAACATGCATTTCAATCTAATTAAAATTTATTTAAATGTTCCAAATGCGCTACCGCTTCTCAAACATCTAACATCCCATTCGGGGTCACATCAGAGCGACCTTTCGATTATGAATACATGTACTAGTAAACACAAACACTTTGGCTATGTAGATTCAAGCCTCGGTAAACAATTCTCAAATTAATTCCACGGCTACATATCATCATTATTGATGCTGTCTTACGTTGATTTAAAGTAATTTTGGAATAAATTTCATGTATAGTCTGCAGTCTGGCATCTGAACGTGAATAATGCAAACGAAAGAGCGCAAACTATACAAGATACCCCACACGTCATACATAACACAGCTTTTGCAATGCATATTTTGTTTACTACAAAACTCCTCGGGTGTTTTGGTTCGGTGGTGAAAACAAGAAACCCATCTGAACTATAAGCCAAGATTTCGGAGGAACCATTTTCTTTGGCTAATCGAAGATTCACTCTTACATGACCCCAAATAGGATGTTGTTAGATGTTTGAAAAGCAGTAGCGGATTCGGAACATCTGATTTTAATTAGATTGCATCCATCTGTGACATCAGTTTGGAATGTTATTGGTTTTACTATTAAGTAAAGTATTACAAAAACAGAATGTCTGTTTTTTTTCTCTGATGGCATTGGACAAAGATATGCATACTTAAATATCATTTCATGCACTTTTTTCGGTACATATTAGATGGAAGCATGCTAACCGCTTTTCAGTACATTCAGTACTTTGATTTTACTGATGGACAGCTAGCTGACAAATAGTTATTAGTATTGTAGATAGCAAATGAATGAATGACACTTTTAAATTCATGCCCCCAGGCCGCAGGGTGCTACGCTGTACCTAAATATTTGAATATCCATTTTATCTTGGAAATCTTTCTTTCAAATGAGCATAGAGATCTCTAAAAATCATGCGAAATTCCTGTTGTCCCAGCCTTCGGCCTCTGGCAACACTTTCCTAGGTCTTCCCCACTACCTCAGCCTCAGGACAACAGTTTGTTTCCCTCGTAGTCATTCAATAAGTGTACATGTATAGTATTTGTGAACACATTTTCAATAAAATTTTGCGCAGCAGTATTGTCAGAAAATATTGAGAAAAATCAAACCGGTTCAGAAAAAAAACTTTACTACCATTACAGCTAGACTCGTAGAAACTTTAGAGGAGGGAGACCCCCCTATCGAATATCGCTTGACAAAAGAAATCTTATCTCGGTATTCTCACTCCAACTTAATTAAATTTTTTAATCAGTTTCTAACAAAAATTCCATGTACAGAAATTTCGAAAATTCGCGCTTTCAATCCTAGGAAATCATCATTTCATGTTACAGGTCGTTATTCCTTAAATGGAAAGAAAATATTGATTATCAATAGCACTGGCCTTTACAGAACGTGAGAAAAGCAAGGACGTCATAGGGTATATCGATCGTATCCATCTCTGAAAACAGCAGCGCCATTGTAGAAGAGGAATCTGTGAAGTTCTCTTAAAAAACTACTAGGAGGTAAGATAGTTTCATTTAAAATAAAACTAAATTATATGATTAAAACAACATTTACTTAATATATGGGAGTTTACAAGATTACTTATTGTTTCACTTGTTCTCAAAAGTGGACATTTCGTACAAGAGTATGTTGATGTACATATCCGTTTTTATTGATTTCTGACAACAATTGTATACACTGTGACCACCATCTCTTAATGTTAAATTTCGGATTGAATTTTAGTTGTAAGAAAACAAATGATCTCTTAATCACGTCATATGTAAAGAATCAGTATCTTTGTCTGGAGAGCTTTATGCTTTTTAATAAACGTACACCTTATATAAAACATTATATATTTTATCTGCACTTAGGTCTGATCATGGCCTTTGAAATGATTTTGACTGTTCTGGCCACATTCCTGGTGTCGGAGGCCAAAATTTCCCATGGTGGGTCCATGGGCTGGTCAGATCTAGGTCAACTGTACACTCTGGAAGACTTAAGAGGTGCTCTGGACAATGGCTACTATGACCTGGAGAGCAGAAGTTCTCCTAACGAGGACTGGTCTAATGTCGGATATCAGGAGCCCACACTTAATGACGACATCTTCAGCGAGGCTTCCATCAGGGACCAAGAATACCAAGAGAACAGTCCCCTCTGGGGGTACCAGTCAGTGTCCGGTGGGTCGTACATTTTATATAAAGCTCTCAAAACAATGCTTTTATTAGAAGAACAAATTCTGTCAATTATATACTCATTCCGTCATGGATGGCACGGATAGCAATTTGATTGGTTATCCAATATTATTCTTATTCCGTGTGATGGAAATGTTTGAGGCAGGCGATCAATAAGTCTAAGCGTCACAGAATGTCAGACCAAAGAGAAATTGAAATGACATTTCATACTGAATTTCTTGGATATCATTGATTTCAAATGGTTCGGATCTACAACACAACGCGGCGCATCTGTTAGTAGCTCCTCAGTACACTTCTCAGGTGTATGGAGTATCTAAAGAGAATCGGTCTGCAACTGATGAAAAAAAACGTATATATAATCATTATTAAAAATATATCAATTATTTACAAAATTGAAAGTTCTTCTTCTTCCTAGTATTGCGTTAACATTTACTCGTGTATTCATTTGTAAATAAAAATTGTTACGGTAATATACTCGTATATGACATTCTGTGAGACTGGAACCTGGTATACATACATGTATTATATATTGCTTGAATCTAGAATTTTGAAGTGCTATTGAAAATTTGCTCACTATTTGACATTGATTCGATACTTATATAGTATTAATTTCCCCACCAAAATCAAAATTCTTTCAAGGTCGACTTTGTTATTGACAGTAAGAAGTAGATACCCGAAGACGTGAGTGAGCAGGTTCCAATTAATCAGACTAAATGTATGTGGTTTATAGATTTAATACATTTAATACCGTAACCTAGCTTTTGTTGATAGGAATAATTTCCTCTCCCAATTCCACACAACCACGTCAAAATGTTACATAAAACACTGAAATAAATTCTTTGAAAAGATTATGGTTGTAGAACTTTTGCACTCCGGGAAAGAAAATTTGTACAGACATTGCTAGAGAGAACTGGCTCTCAGGAACATTCTGGGAATTCTAGCATGTCTCTTCAAATGTTTTTGTCTCGAGAGCTACAGTTCTGTAGCTACATGTATTATTTTAAAGATTTGGCTTAATGTTTGTAAAACCAGGATCGTGAACTAAAGTGGTCAATGAGTTTTGGGATATAAGATCGAAAAAAAAAATGGTTATTTTCGAAAGACACTGACAACGGAACGGAAGATTTTTAGAAAATTTGGCACAGTTGAGGTGACCCTCCCAACCCAGCAAACTGCATTTTTAAGTTATTCTTTATGTGCAATTATTATTTTGGATTGATGAAAACGTCTTCAAATGCAAGTCGAAAGAGGAGGAAAATCTTGTTACGTCACATTATAACATTACAGGAGGAACTGGTGACGGAAAAGACAATCCCAAGCAAGTCAAAACAGACAAAGTATTGCCCGCCTACTGCAATCCGCCCAACCCTTGCCCCATAGGATACACAGGTGCGTACTGTGATTAGAAAATTGAATTGATTTCCGTCCTATCCGTATTTCATTCTCAAGTCCCTTATCGATAAAAAGAAATGTGGCTGTAAAAGTAATAGATAAGCTAAAAGTGTATTTAACTATTTAAAGTAATAATTGATGAATAGAAAAACTGGTAACAAAAATGTGGAATATTTCAGCCGATGATAACTGTGTAGAAAATTTCGAAAACACTCCGGACAACAACAGAAATCTGATGAAACAACAGGAATGCCCGTGCGACAAAGAGCATATGTTTAGTTGTCCGGCGGACAGTAGAATCAGCACCAAGTCCGGATCCTCGCTAGACAGTGTGATTGACCAGCTAGGAAACATGGTAAATGTCTTTTTTTGTTAAATCTTTTACAGTTCATATGTTGTCGCGTCGATTTCTTGTAAATCTTTCTTAATACTCACTTCTTTAAGATTTAATTTTTTGTACAAAATTTCCACTAGGAAAATAACGCCTTTCTGTCCACAAATGAAAAGAGGAAATCCTTAGTGGCTAAAAAATCTCCACACATGATCAAAAAGAGAGTGAGTATTGCTAAGAGATGTACAAATTTAATCATACTTATTGTTGATAATGTGTTGTATAAAGAGATATTAAAGACAGGGTCATTTGCCTTTTCTGCTCTAAATAAGTTTCTCATCTCACAGTATCGATGAGAGCTTTCTTAAATGAAACTCTAAAACCATAAAAATATTGGCCTCCGTAATTTTTAAGAAGACCATAATGTTTTTTTTTTCTGAAAAGAATATGTAAAATTGTCTTGCATATTCTACATTTGCCTCTGTTTGTATTTTATAACAATGTCAGATAACTTTTTTTTTCTAGAGACGAGTTTAAAAACATTCTTTTTAGGTTTATTGACCCTTGTATAAGAGAGATAACTCTTACTGAAATAAATATCTTATTCCTGAACCTTGAAAAATTTCAACACGTTGGAATGCTTTGTAAATTATTTAAATCTAATTTACCCATTGATTTTGTATATTTCGTAATATACATGTAGCTGTTGTAAAGATATTAAAGTGGACTTTGTTAGAGGGTGTCTGTGTGCGGGTACAATAATCACCGCTTACATGTATTTCAGTGAAAATTGCCATGGTTCAGTTTTAAAAACGCAACTTCATAAACAATCCGTATGCTTCTGCAAAAGACAATGGCATAAATATGAAACATCAATAAAAGCAATTGAATACATGGATTAAGAAACTAGATACTGCATTTTAGACCATTGATGGAGCAGCTGGACAGACATCTTCGCTAGCCAAGGGTTACTGGTAGTACGCTACTCTCCTCATAAGTCCTTGGTATATGGTGTTTAAAAAAGTCGGGATTTTTGTTTCTCAACTTGTGATTGGAGTGGATCGACATTAATTGATCGACAAATCGGCAATTGTTTTTTTTTCTTTTGTAAATGACAATTTTGCGTTCGGGACAATTGTTGATTTTTTTCTCTTGGGAATGAAAAACGCAAGTAAACAAGGATCACATGCTATTCTATGAATAGATATGATTTTATTAAAAATCTTAAGATATGTTGCAAAATATAAATTAGGATCTATATTGAAGATGTAGATTTGCACAATAAACAACAAATGAAAAAATCAATATTTTTTAAATATTTCTTTTAAAACTTTCATTATTTAAATACGTTATTTATTTCTGTTGATGACGCACTTTGTGCGTATCTGTTCTAAATTCGAGATCAAGTGAAATAATCCCGTCTTTTCACAGCACCGTATGCCAAGGGATTATGAGGAGAGTAGCGTATCAGAAACCCTTGGCTACCGAAGATGCTGGACAGACGAAAATATTTCTTTTAATTTTATTTTGACTGCTGTTGAAAATTTCCATATTTATTTATTTATTATTGACGGATGCATTGACAATAGACAGTTATGTAGAGTTTATGCTTATAGCATCATCATATATTGGAATATTTTTGTACACAGTACTCACTTTTGTGTTGATTGATAATGTGTCAATAACTTTTAATCATTCTTTTTTCGGTTCCAGGACACCGAACACGCCCGAAATCCGTTTTTCGAGGGATATCACAAAAGAACTGCTGCAAAGAAGGGTTCTTTAATGCCAAAGCATCAGTAGACTAACACCGAACGAAGGAGGGAAATATTGTCTCTGTCACAGAAAAATTGAAAAACTCGAATATTGCATATGTGGAATGATATTTGTTGTTACAGAAATTTAATTGAATATAGATATCTAAATTTCAAAAATGGAGTTCAAAACAGTATTAGAAAATGTCACCTTTTTGATTTTAAATCTTACAACATTGTTACCCGTGAATTTGTTATTATGAAGATATGGCTATATTATATGTTTTCTGTTATTTGAAAATATCATAGAAAATTTGATAAATTGTGTTACAATAAAGATTAGTTACTAGAGAACACTTGTGTTTACTTTTGTGGCCAAAGATCTGCATTTTACATTTGCAAAATTATTTTGTTAAAAACATTCCCATTGTACACACAAGTACTCTAAAGTTGACATCGAAGAGGTGCTCGAGTTTCTGATTTACAATATCTATGTTGTTTTTGGTGACCAGGTCTTCCAACAATCTATTGGAATTCCTATGGGTACCAATTGTGCCCCTTTATTAGCAGACCTATTTTTGCATTCACATGAAGCAGAATTTGCGCAAAATCTTACGCGCGAAAAGAAGAAAACACTTGCTGTGGCCTTAAACTCGACATCTAGATATATCGACGACCAACAATGGTAATTTCCATTCTCATGTCGATACGATATATCCTGGTGAGCTTGAGATAAAAGGTACCACAGAGTCTGGCACATCTTTATATCTTACTTGAAAAGGACGTCAATGGCAATCTAACAACTAAGATCTATGATAATCGTGATGACTTTAACTTTTCTGTCGTCAACTTTACTTATTACCGTCTTCCTTGGAAGACGGTATTGTATATTGAAGTTTTTTGCAGTCTCCGGACTATGCACTTCCTCTCTTTTGTGATTGGTAGAAAACGGAAAAAATTTTCAATTATTTCATTGGTTGAAATGCTGTTCAAAGCAAGGGAGATAACTTTCTGATGATCTAATTTTCGTACGACTTAACAATTTTGCAAGATTTTCAATCTTAAAAAAATGACAAAACGAACAACAAAATCAGCAGTAATTAATTCCTAATAACATGATTTTTTTGTATAGCAATAAATAAAAAGATCTCTTTAATTTCGTTATAAATAAAATTTGATTTAATTGCTTGCAGGCTTTACAATTTGTTATTATTCTTTTCTTTCTTGTTTGAAGAAGGAAAAATCAGCAAGGTTTGCCGAAAGCTCTCGGCCAGTTTACGGAGATACCGAGCGATGATTTTCATTAAAAAGCTAATGTAGAAATACAAAATATAAATTCAAAAGAATTATATTAGGTGTATATCAGTTTACTGTTTAAATTGTTGCAAATGACGGGAAGCTTTTTTTTAAATATTTCTTTGTGCAAATATACCTTCATCAAATACGTTTATACATCTCGGTTGAATTGATACGCAAGAGCATGCTCTACGTATTAACAATTTCTAAAACGTGGTTAATTATTGTCAAACAAGTTGATGAGACAAGAATATCAGTAGTCTCGTCACCATTTCGTAAGTTAAGAGTTCTATGGTAGATAGCATGACCTTGTCAGCAAATACAATTTATTTCTTTTAATTTTATTTTGACTGCTGAAAGCGAATTTCCATATACAATTTACAATTATCATTGTGTGCTCTACAAAAGACGTTATGTCAGGCTGTATAAGGATTGATAATTGCTTGATCATATATTAATATTTTTGTACCCAGAGAGCTAGATTTTGTGTTGATAATTGTGTCAAAACTTTTAATCATACTTTTTTGTGCAAGCTGATTTACATTGGAAATCTTTTACCTGCATTTTAAAAAAACATTTTTCAGGAAAACAATGATTTTACTGATGCAAAATAATGCAGTATTTACTTTGTTTACTCTGTTTGCATGAAACAGATTATTCCATGCGATTTACCGTTTCAACGTGTAATGATATTTTTTGTTACAGAAATTTAATTGAATATAGATCAGTCCATTTATTTCAAAAATGGAGTTCGCGCCAAAACAGTAATTAAGCGAATGCACCTTTTTGATTTTAAATTTACAACATTGTTACTTCCATGAAATTTGTTGTTATAATTTATGTATATTATATGTTTTCTGTTATTTGAAAATTCATAGAAAATTTTATAAATTGTGTTACAATATGAAGTATTATCAGTATATGCAAAACAAAAGAAATGTTTCTACTTTTGTTTCCCCTCTGTTTTTATTTGCAAATTTTAATGTCCAATCAAAAACATTTCCATTGTACACACAAGATTCCAAAGTTTGACATCGAAGAAATTACCTGTGCGAAATCTTTCTTTTCCACAAAGCCAAAGGCCTAAATGTTGGTTTTACCTATTTCGTTCCAAAAAATTATAGTACTTCCTTTGGAAAAAAAAGATCAATGAACACAAACTGCTACTGTTTATTATTGCAGAAAATATTTTTGCAACATATGTATTTAGTAATATTTCTCTAAAATGTTCACGCGCGAATGATTTGAAAACAGATTTCAGTGGCCTTTAAATTTAGATCCAGGGGTAGATATATACTTGCAGAAAAGTCAATCGTAATTTCCTTTCTCATGAAAAACAACTCGAATGTATCGATATATCGAATGTCAAAAATTTCTACTTTCCTGTTCAAAGGTAAACGGAGTCTGGCACATCTTTATATTTTAAATAATATCATTACATTGAATGGCAATCTAACAACTAAGGTCTATATACATCATCCATGCTTTTACTTTTTGTCGGGGGGGGGGTCAACTTTAAATTAACAATACATTATACCTTCATCACCTATTGGCATAAACCCACATACATTAACCATTCTGTTAACAACTCTTCAGAATGCAGCAAAGGCATCATCCTTCTACAAGTTAAATAATTAAATATTTTTACAAGGTTCTCAAATAAAAACACAACACATATTTCAAACACAAAAAAGTATTGCTCAAAAGGTTTATTAAGAGTTCTGTTAGATATTGATTGATTAAGTCAGACAAGCTTTTTATCAGCTGTTACTTGTCATATACAAATTTTAATTGAAAAATTCAAATTTTTGTAGACGACAATTGTATTACCTGGGAAAATTTGTGTCAAACTTTCCGGCAACAATAAAACATAAAAATGCTAACGATGGAATAGCACTTTATTATAAACTAGGTCGGTAGGGAGAATTCTGGACATCCAAAAATTGCACCCGAAAAATCCGAAGCCTAGGTCCTGACTGCATAACATATAAATAATGAAATATAACAATAACAATTAGCACAATTCTTAGCATGAGTGACAGATGGCTTAGATAGAAAAACTCATACTGTCACATATAGTAAATTTGCTTAAATTGACACATTTTGAGTTGCATAGTAATTATAGTGTTTCATGGTGTTAAAAGTAATTACAGTTACTATAGTAATTAAATGTATATTACAAAGTCAAGTTCTTTATTGACTTTGAGCATTATATTATGTACAAACAAATACAAACATGACTGTACAGGTTTACAGGAGAATATGATAATTATGTACATATGAAACAAATATATATATATGACATGAATGATTAATTTAACATGTCTTTTCTAGTTTTTAGGCTAAAGTAAATAAATTTACCTAAGTTGCATAGTTCTTTAACATTTTCAACATTAAAAAGTTGCAACAATTTAAACATTGAAGGTTTTTTTCCAATAATAAGACTTTGTGTTTTTTACGGTGTATTTCATAAGCGGGACATATTAAAATAAAATGAAATTCATCCTCAACATAATTTGAACACAAAAAACAATATCTACAGTGTCTTTCTGTATTGCTATATCGACCTGTTTCAATTGCCAATTGGTGTGATGACAGTCTCAATTTAAAAATACATTTTTGATATTTTATTGGTATGGGTTTACGTAATTAAAATTGTAAATTATAATTTGCAATTAAATATCTTTAAAAAGAACACTTACTAGTATGGCACGCCAAATTCACAAAAATGAGATAAACCTAGTTTCACATTTGATAAACTAGATTTATCGACGGTAAACTATAGTTTACAAACCGTAAACTATATTTAACGATTTGTTAAGTATAGTTAACGATTCGTTAAGTATAGTTTTCATCTGTAAAACTATATTTAAAGGTTGTTAACTATAGTTTACGAATGATACAAGATTATCTGGTAATAAGCGTTAACAATAGATTTTGTTGATAAACATGATTCACGTCTGTAAATCAACCAATGAAAGTTTACAATCGTAAACTATATTAAGAGTTGTTAAACATAATTTGAACACAAAAAACAATATTTATGAGTGTCTTTAACTATATTTAACGGTATGTAAACCTGTTTCAATTGCCAATTGGTGTGATGACAGTCTCAATTTAAAAATACATTTTTGATATTTTATTGGTATAGGTTTACGTAATTAAAATTGTAAATTATGATTTGCAATTAAATATCTGTAAAAAGAACACTTACTAGAGCTCTCTATTTGAGAAAAAATATTCTGTCTTGCCTGGTCAAAAATTCTTTGCTTTACTATAGGAAGGTCCACACATTCAACTTTTTGTTTTTCCCATAATTCAAACATATCCAAATTGCATAATATGCTTTTAACATTCGACAACCAGTTTTTTGCATTATGCATTTCTACAGACTTATATAAAACACTGTAACAATGTTGTATGATACAATTTTTTTGATCAAGAATTAGTCAGCTAAGATGTCATTATCATTGTTTTTTATCAAAAATCACACCGTGATAATTCCCTCTCGCTTCGGAAAATGAGACGTCCTAGCTCGTCCCAGGAATCATCGGTAACTGAAATGCGGAGCACTTTGTTAAAAAAATCACACCGTGATAATTGAGTCAAATGCTGATTGACGTTTTTCATACTATTTGTCAATCCATTGTTTATACACTGAATTGACGACGGATTTTTTCCCGTTATTTCCAGATCATGACAAGGGGGACACGGCGGGTGTGATCGGTCGACAGGGGATGCTCACTCCTCCATGGCCTGATCCCACATCCAGTGGAGGTCCGTATTTGCTCTGCTCCGATTTTGTATGATGGACTTTTGATCTTGAATACTGTTCGTTATCTCCGTATGTTTCACGCAATCATTAGATCAACTGAAGCGACTTCAGGCTAAATAGACCAGCTTGTGTGATCGAAATTTCTCCGTTGTCTGCTGTCGTAAACTTTCCACATTTTCATCCTTTTATCCAGAACAACTGAGCCAATTTCAACCAACTTTGACACAGGGTATACTTGGGTTAAGGGGACTCAAGTTTGTTCAAATGAAGGGCCATGCACATCTTAATTGTTCCAATGAAAGATAAATATGAAACATTTGGAGTTGGGCGAGGTCAGTTTAAATTCTTCTGAATAACAAACCAGAAGATGCGACTACCATACTTTCAAGAGTTGTATATACATTCAAATTTGCTCACATCATGACGCGGAGCTGGCTTTAAATTCGCCACTACGGGCACTGGAATATTTTAATTAAAATTCTTCTTTTCAAGAATACTATGCCTTAATTATCATATATATTTACTTGGAAGCATCATAAGCTTAAGTGTAGATTCCACTTTAAGTGAGTGAATATTCAAATGAAAAGAGGTCATTACGGATTACCATACAACTGTTCCCAGAGTTTTGGGCGCGCTTAGAACTTAGAATGCAGGTGCGTGGTCAATTTTAAAAGTGCACTTATTAAAGTAAACTTACAGATATTTTCTTCTAATTATATCTGTAACACTCTGTTTAATTTTTTTTTCATTCATATGAAATAATTTCTTTCGGAAAAATACATGTATAATTAAAAAAAAAACTATGAAAAACATTTCTTGATATAATATTTTTTAAGTATTAATGTTACTCGGTGTTCGCAGCATCGCGCTCACTGATAACAAAAGTGCTTTCTACCGTACGAGCCTCTAGATATATATTGTTTTTTTATAAATCGTAAAATTTTGTCAATCACTAACAAAGTTGTTCATTTGCTGTCTGTTAAAGACAAGGGAGGCAATGGAGAGTCCACTCACCTGTTATCCTATGCGGTTTGAGCCTGGTGCCGACCTTAAAGAAGGATTAGTAAAATTCGTGGAGGATAACAAACTGTCTGCAGCCTTTATCCTTACTTGTGTTGGGAGTGTCACCAAAGCAACATTGAGAATGGCGGACAGTAAAACGGTATTACGTTAAACAGACACAGTGAGTCAAAAATCATACATATAGGAGATTTGTTCCAAAAAATGAAAGATTTAATTGTTGAAAAGACATGGATGAGGAAAGCAAAGGTTTGGAAAATCAACTGCATCGTAAAGTAAGCAAAGAGTGTAATAATTGCAAAGCTTGCATCAACCCTACTCCAGCATGCTAAACTTCATGGCGAGATGCTCAATACAATTAATTTGTCTTTGCGCCGCGTTAAGGAGCAGTAAAGGACGTTAACCGAGGTTCTTACTCGTAGAATTTTTGGGTTATGTAACTTGCAATTAATAAACCCTAAAACTATCAATAATTTTAAAAATTATTAATGTCAGAGTCGTACAAATTGAAAAACGTTTCCCCCTTTCCTTCGTATTTGAATGTAAACTGTATACTTAGTATCTCTTTTAAATTCAAGCATGACACAGACACAGTGCTTCCTAATCTCGACGAGATTCGTAGGGACTAAAATTTTTGCTCCGGCGTCCCTCCCACGAGATTCGTAGGGACTAAAATTTTTGGTCTGACGTCCCTCCGTCAGACCAAAAATTTTAGTCGGAGGGACGTCAGACCAAAAATTTTAGTCGGAATCTCGTCGAGATTAAATGCTTCCTTGTTAGAAAATCGGTATGGATCGATACATGTAACAGAGATAATTTTTCTTTGAAGCAACATCTTTATTTCTATTTATAAAACCAAAAGTAAGTATTTCTCGATAAATCACAATACCGGGCATTTATTCTATGAATAGGTATACAGTAAGTTCGTAACACGTAAATGGAATGAGATGCATAGAATTCAATTTGGTACTGCAGCGTGTGATTTTCTTTTTCAAATATACTCTTCAAATTTATCTTCCACAGATAAAGACATACGATGGGCCTTTTGAGATTGTTTCCTTAGTGGGGACTCTGTCAGGCGGCGGTCATCTTCACATCAGCCTTAGTGACAGTGAAGGGAATGTGTTTGGGGGTCATGTCATCAGTGACGTCATTGTTTACACTACAGCAGAAGTAGTCATTGGAAACTGTTCTGCTGTTCTTATGTCCAGAGAAAATGATAAACAAACGGGGTATAAAGAACTAGTTGTATGCCAAAGGCCAACATAGAGAAAATAATGCACTTTTAAAAAAAAAAAAACATTAAAAGTCAAGTGAAACAGAATTGTTTTTTTTTCATTTATAGATTCCTTAAAAAGTATTAGACATACATTTTATCGAATCGAAATTGCCAAGATTCCGGAACTGTGCTGTAATTAATATACATGTACATGATTTTTGTATATGTAGTATATAGTGCAGAGGATATCGAACTCATAAACCTTGGCTGTTATTAGTATCCAATCTCCCATGCAGAGTTGTCGCTCGTTACTACCTCTCTCAGAAATTCCAATGTGTGACCATGGTGACGTACTTATTTCCCTTTGCCACCATCTTGGAGATTTTCCTCTTTGAAATATGCATGGCAGATATTTATAGGCAATAAGGGCAAAATCTGTTAAGATACTAATTTATAAATTAAAGAAAAGATTTTGCAAACATATATTTGTTCCAAAAACTGTATTAATTATCTTCACCACAATTACCAGTATGACATGTTTAAATTGTTTTTAAAATGAAGGAATCTGGGCTTTTTGATATAATATGCAGAAACATGCTAAAATTGCGTCAAAAACTTTTTTATAAGAGGACTAAAGTACAGCTGTGGGTAGACTTTTAAAATTATACAAATAGATAAGACATGAATAAGGCAGTCGATAGCAAAAATTGGGATGGGAGGTTCATTTTGTTATTTGTCAAAAACCATGCAGTCTCCTTAATCTCTTAACATCTGATCAGGGAAACATATGTATGTTAATTATGTGTTATATTTCGATCACATTTTTTTTTTAATTTTTACCTGTTAAATTTGTAATTTAAACCGTAAATCTTTTAATAGAGGCTCAAATAACATTAATTGTTTATATTATATATATGTCTGATTTCGTGTAACCTATGTTTATCTCTTATATTTTTGTTCTAAACTTCAATTAGAAAACGTTTATTTTTCTTCTCCCTCTCTCTCTCCCATCTTTTTCATTTTTTTTTTTAAATCACGAGACACTGATACAAAAAATTATATAACCAGGGAAATTGTGAGGCATTGGTATCACTGGCGGATTTAGAGGGGGCCAGGGGGCCCGTACGTCCCCCCTTCCCCCTTTTGAATCCAAAAAATACACAATATTCGATAAATCAATATTTTTTGTGGCTGTGGGCCCATACCCTGAACTCAAACTGATCGCCCCCTTTTCAAAATCTCTACATCTGCCACTGAGTATAAACTGACAAACATATAACCAAAGACCTTGTTTGCATAATGTCTCTGATATAACTTACTGCACAACTGTGCCACCATATTTTACTAATGGTTTGAAACAATCCGGTTGATTGGCTAACTTTGGTTTTATGGTCGTATGGAGATATTACATAGTTTTCAAAGATCTTTTCCAGAATACAATGCAAATTTATTACTTTTCATTTCAGAAAATAATAAGAATATACGTTGAAATTGGAATAATTAAAGTAAACAGACGCTAAATGAATCAACATCCGGTTGATATCCAGCCAATCAGTACGCGTTTTACATAGTAGAGAAAAACATGGACGTCAAAACTGAAAATAAGGTATCGATACGTGGCGTTACCAGAGAAATTTAGCCCAAGCCAACAGAAAAATGCAATATACATATGCTTTATCATATCTTATATGTATTTCATAACTTTATTTATGGAAATAACTAATAAGGTAAAGATTTCTTAGAAAGTAGAGCCGGTTTATCTTGTCTGTTGACCGTAGTGAGTTTGACATTTCACTATCACTATCAGAAACGTTTTCATAAAAAAATATTTGTTGTTTTTTTTTTCATTATGAAAAAGTGTATTAGTTAATACTCAATATTGAATTGCGTAATATTAATTGCTTGGATTTATTTGCTCCAGATTCAATGCACACAGTTTGGGAAGACTAGAACACTGTAGAACAGCAACTTGTTTACTGTTATAGTTCATATTTTGTAAAACTTGGTTTCTTAAGGATTTACATCCATAAAATAGCAATTCTGCTCCTGCTACTCAAAGTATGGTTGTAAATTGATTGGTTGTGTGATGTTCCCTCTAAATTGCATTTTCCTTAGTGCAGTTTGTCCTCATTCTCATATTCCAAGAGATTGGTCAATCATAAACTTGCTTGCCCTCTTTTATGTTGAATATGATGAGGTAATTTGATTTTGGTCAAGGTTTTAAGTATGTCCTCTAACATTAACAATGTAACAATGAGTCAAATCTATATATATGTGTGTTTCTTTCACTTATTTTTCTGGAAAGTCACCACCTTTGACAACAACTTTACAAAGAAATTAAACATTATTTCTTGTAAAAATAAAAAATCGTATTCAGTTCTTTTAATTTGAAGTTTCAGTTTTAAGCCTGAAAACAGTAAAATATAAGCTATTTTAGAGGATATGTAACAATTCTATATACTCTTATATACAGGGTTATTTTTGCCCTGTGTTATTTTAGCCCTTTCACACTTGCAGACAATTTTGCCTGGTTTTAAATTCGCTCAGTCATAGATTTATTTAAGAGATTATACTGTATACTTTAAATTCGCCCAAATGAGAATAGGGTAAAAATTTCACTATATACAGTATATATTTGCATGATGACTAAGTTCTCATTTTAAGTACCAATATATTTCAGGTGTAAGTAACACAAGGGATAAAATGGCGGAAAGGAATAAAAAATGTGGATCTGGAAATCTTACCAAGTGGAAGATAGTGGTGGTGTTTTCTTCATTATTGTTTCTGTGTTTTGTGATACATGTGACAGAAGCTAATGAAGGAGAACATGAGAACAAAAAACAGAAGAAGGAGGAATCAGGTTTGGATGATATTATTAAAGATTTTGAAAGTTTTGTAGATGAAATGGATGAACATGTGAAAGAAGATGATTCAAAAGACATATTAAGCATTAATTTAGGTGAAAAACTTGATAGATCTGTAAAAAATGATAATCATAAATCCTCAGTAATAGAGGAAAATGATGTGAATGTAAATAAAGAAGTTTCTTCAGGATTTGAGCAACATAGTCCTAAAAAAGACCAAATGCAAAAAGCTTATGATAAATTGCAATCTCAAAATACAAATATCAATACTAAAAATGAGAAAGTTACATCTGAAAAGATAGACAAAAACCCCATCCATTTAGACTCTAAACCCAAACATAATGCAGAGGAAGGGAAGAGCAATATTCCACATGCAGCTCAAGAACAGACCTCAGATGTAGGAAATGAACTCTTGTATGGTCAAGAAAATACACCCTTTTCTAACAATGACGAGATAGAGTCATCTGAAAAAGAATCCTCCTCAACAATCAGTCCCTCAGAGCCTTCTGTTGACCCCCCAGTGGAGGATAACCCCTCTACCCCATCTCCATCAGAGGACAACCCCTCTAGCCAATCACTAGTAAATGACAGCCCCTCTGATAAATCTTCAGTGGAGGAAAATTCCCCCTTTCAACCCTCAGTGGAAGATGATCCCTCAGCCCAACCCCCAGTGAACAGTCAGTCCTTAGAAGGTAATCACCTAGGATTAGTAACTGTGGTGTGGGAATTTGGTGCATAGCCCAAACACATACTAACTTAGTTAAATCATATACACTGTAGCATGTCCAATGTTAGCCAATGCTAGATAGATCTGAAAAAAAATTGGGATAGGCGACCAGAGAGCTACAGTGCAAACTGTGTGTTTATTGCACACACACCAAAAAAATGCTGCTTTCTTGATTTATTTCTCTATTTATGTATGCAGCCATCTCAAAATTTTGCTAACCATGTGTTTCTTTTATATTCTTTTACAACCTCCACAACAAAACATGTCCCAGAACCATTGTTTATATCCCTCCTGGGCCTGATATTGACACCATTGAAAAGTTTCCCTATTTAGAAAACCATATTAGGTTGTAAGATAATTTGGTCCAGTACGCTTTGTACATGACTTGTCTATGCAGTTTTGTTTAGGAAGTAGTAAAAGAATGTGTAAGAAACACATGGTTAATAATATTTTGAAATATACATGGTGATAAAAATCGAGAAAGAGTGCATGTTTTTGCTCAATATTATAAATATACAGTTTTTCCAAAGGGTGGCACTGTAGCTCTCTGGTCATCCATCCCAATTTTTTTATCAGACCAGCAAGCTACAGATCACAGCTAGTCCAATGTCTGACACACTATAAAATAAGCAAAAAATATTATCAATCCTTTACTAATAGACTAATCCAATCAAATTATTCTTGCCTTGCTGCACAACTGACATTCCTGTCTTTATAATCCTAGAGGTTGGCGCATATAGTGCATTGGGCAAAAAATACTTTATTGCATGTTATTTTTAGCTCCCTGTTGAATCTGCATAGATAAATTTTGTAAAATTTATTTGCTCTCAATATCAGCTTATACAGTATCTGTTTTCAAAATGTCTTTTGAATACTCTGGTTCTTTATCAATATCAAATGCATACTTTGTAGTATTTCTATAGTAGTTAAGTAATAATTAACTTGTCAATGAGTAAAAAGACTGACATTTTTGATGAGCATTACATGTATCAGTAATTAATAATTTTGAATAAGAACCTTGATTTTTTTATACCCCCGCTTGAAAAACGGGAGGGTATATAGTAATCAGTATGTCCGTCCGTCTGTCTGTACGTGAGCTCATTGCTCACAGTACCTCTTAGTCTAGTTTTTCACAAATATTGTCTATTTTCTTGGCCAAACCCATAAGAGGCCTTTGATAGTAAATGGATCATCAACAAAACTACATAGACAAGATAAGACGTACCAACTCCCAAGAAAAAAACTACTCCCGGTTTTATAATTATTATTTATATCAGTAATTTTCATTGGGGCTTAATTTTGTTTTTGTAATGCCCTCTAGAAAATAATAATATCTTAACTTTAAAAAAATACTGCTCAAGTTAGAAAAAAAATGAGTTGAGAAGTACACAGTGTCTATTTAAAAGAATTCTTCATGATCACTTAGAGTGCAGTTATATTGCATTTTATCCAGACTGACAGGTTTATTTTTGTTGATATATTTTACACGATTTTGTGGAATTTTTCTATGAACATCACTATTATCTTATAAGAAATCAAGATAGTTTGAAATAAAAAGCAATATTTGTCCGACAGCAAATGAAAAAGGCAGCAGTGAAGAAAGCTCCAACAACAAAATTCCATTAGACAATCAAAAATCTAGTCAAAACAGTCATGCTTCCAATACTCAGGTCAATCAGATGAAGGGCCAAAGTTCAATCTCGGAGAAAAATAGTCCTATAGAGGACAGTAGCCATCTCAGCACCCTTAACACTCACCAAGGATCAGACCCAGAGAAAGAGAAATATCAGGAGAGGGGATCAGGAATCAACGAAGGTCAAGGAGAGCCAGACAGTGAGGATGAAAATTTCGGAAATAATGATGAGATATTTGAGAGGATTCAGAAATTCAGAAAAGTTCATGGTAGACTTCCAGATATGGATGATGCCAAGGATAAGGAAGAAATCCTTGTTAACGCGGAGGCTGATCGTGTTACAGAAGACGAGGAATTAGAATACGCGTTTCCCAGTCCATATGATGAGGATGAAATGGATATGGACAAAGTAGAAGAGGTGTTTAGTACTTTGGAAAAGAACGTTAAAGAGACAACAGTGTTGTACAAGCCAGATGAATTTGGAAATGTCAGAGTGGAGAGATACACCCAGACCAGGCATAGCAATGGACTTATTACAACAGAGTATAATACATTTCAACAAGTCAGAAGGGAGATAACAGTAGGCCAGACTCCTGTACATAAAGATTCCTCAGATCAGGGGTTTTCAGATGGGGATGACATGGAGAGCTATGATAATACTGACCAGGTGTATAATGAGGGGGGTGAGGATACAGACACAGCTTATCAGGACGGGGATGAAGATATGAATTTTGAGGATGTTGACAGGAATTTAGGGGAGCTGACACAAGGTAAATCATTGTGAATGTTCTTGACTTCCTCTCTATGAATCTCCATTTTTGTCTACATTTGTGCACATATGGGACTTCAGAAGGAAGTGGGAATGGCACTGTAACAAAGGATTTGAGTGTTGTCATTTCTTTTAACTTAGTTGATATTATGTGATTTGTTCATTAATTAATATTCTGTTCACTTTTCCACCAAAGTTGTACAATACTTTTGAAATAAAAAATGTGAATTTGGTGTTTCTTTTTAATTACTTTCATGCTTTTTGAGTTCTGAATGTCTTTTTGATTTGGTTCTCCTATAAACGTTTTTACTGTTTCTGGCCAGGTTGTAAAGCAAAATAGGAACAGGAAAACTTGGTGAGAGCTTTCACTATCACCCTAAATCTGAAATTTATTCTTGAAACATTATTGTAATGGTCATTCTATCAAATTTATCCTTGCTTTACAACCTTGTCTGCTAGTGTCTGTTGTTTTTGTTTCAGTTTATTTCTAACTCAACCTTTTTATTAAGCTCGGCACTTTTTATGTAGTTCTGATGAATAAGATAGATAATTTCTTAAAAATATTTTGACCTGCATTAAGAGAATAAGATTAAAAATTCAAATTCATGTTTGGATTGCTCTGATTTCTTGACATTTTAAACACAAAGTAAATTTTGTTTCAATGCATTTTATAGACTGAATGTTAAGTACATGTATTTGCATTGTATAGATTCTGAAATGTTAAGTATGTGATATTGGTATTTATTTAATAAGGTGTTATCATGAAAATTTTCAGATGAGGAAACTGAGGGAGAAGTACAAGAAGAACTCACAGAGGAACAACGTCAAGGTTTGTTTGTGTTGGGGGAGGGGGGGGGGGGATGGGGGCTACATAACATATATACAGTAAAGCACACTTATAGTGAACTCAGATATAAGGAATTGAGGCTTACAGAGAAGAGATTTTCATTCCCCCTGGCATTCTGTTTTTCTTGCACTAATGATCCATGTGAACTTAACAAATATAACAAATTACTTTTATTACAAGGCAAAACTGCTCATCCCTGGCACTTTATGTTTTACTATACCAGGTACAATAGTTGATATAATCAGAGACTTATAAGTAAAGTGATGCCTGACTTGTTACTCTTTAGCAAATCATGTTTACTATCACTCCAATTTTGTTAATATATGTGGCAAAATTTAGTGACATGATTGATATATAGATATTTACTAAAAGTGACATGTTTTATTTTATTTTAGCTCAAGAATATTTTAATAAGGGAGAAGCTCTTATAAATCAGACATACAGCAAAGATCACCAACAGTAAGTCATATATGGAGTGGAAATACTGTATATATGCTCTATAGAAATATCTCTTTCAATTTTTTCATTGTTTATTTGTACATTGTTGTTATATTATCAGGGCAATGGAGTATTTCCAGTTGGCTGCCAAATTGAACCATACGCAGGCACTGGAACATGTGGCTTTTGCTTATGTTCTCGGAGACTACTTGCCACATAACATAGAAAAAGCAAAAGCTATTTTCCAGGATCTGGCAGCCAGGGGTTCCCCTAAAGGACAGCTGGTATGTTGGGCTGTATATTAAGGTTTCCTCAATTTTCCATGGCATCAATTTTCCTGGATTTTGAAAAATGGACGTTTTCAAGGATATATAATTTCGTGGACAAAAGCATTGCATAAACAAATGAATGATATATTTTCATAAGTCAGTGATCATTATATTATGTGGATCTACTTAACAACAAAATCCTCGAAAATTGGTGCTCAACAAAATATTAATGAAACCACAGTAATTGAAGCTCAGAAAAATTGGAAGATGAGAACAAATTATTAAAAAAAGGTTGATGTAAATGTCATTAACATGAATTTGGATATACTCAGATTTCCAAATACAATAGAGTTTAAGAGAAAATTAAGGTGGTGTATAGATGACATATCATTTTAAATAGCTGTTTTTGACAGGGTATGGCATTCCTATACAGTACGGGGATAGGAGTGAATTCCAGTCAGGCAAAGGTAGGCATTTTCCTTCAGGCTGTTCTTAAAGTTACAATTTTTCCCAGAAACAGTCTTTTTTTCCAGCAGTTACATGATACACCTCATACACTAAAGCAAATGATTTTTGAACAATACAAAAAATTACTGTATAAAGGTATGAATGTTGATTTTATTTATTTTATTTTCAACATTAGATATTCAGATAGAGGGTCCTTAATTTGTAAAATAAAAATCATACATAAATTTATTAAGCTTTAATCATTTTTTTTTTCAGTCTCTTGTATATTTCACTTTCGCTGCACTTGGAGGAGATCCTTTATCTCAAATGGCTTTGGTATGTAGTGTTAAAGTTTAAAGATTAAAAAATAATGCTGATATTTTTTAAAAGAGTTATCTTTCTTTTCATATACACAAATATGTTGACAGGGTTACCGGTATTGGTCAGGGGTAGGTGTGGAGAGAAAATGTGAGACCGCCTTAACATATTACAGAAAGGTGGCAACAACAGGTAGGTCAATTTTGTTTAATGTAAAGACATGTTTATAAAACAACTGAGTAATTAATGACTTACAATGGTAAAATCACAATGTAATAAATAAAACATTCATTTTCCTCATGAAACCACAGGAAGAGAATTTTCTCTGACAGGAAATTGGAATAGACCTAGTTATATGACTATCCTAATTTATACATTTTAGAATCCTTCACATCATGAAATGGCTCATTATCATTGTAAGCATCAAAGTACCGGTAATTTTGTTACAATTTACAGCTGACTTGACAAGAAATGTACATGGTTTTGGAAACTATGGTCTAATAAATTCATGTTAAATTTTTAATATTTTCAGACCTTTTTAGCTCACCTGAGCCGAAGGCTCAATTGAGCTTTTCTGATCACATTTTGTCCGGCGTCCATCTGTCTGTCTGTCCGTCTGTCTGTAAACTTTTCACATTTTCGACTTCTTCTCAAGAACCACTAGGCCAATTTCAACCAAACTTGGCACAAAGTATCCTTGGGTGAAAGGGATTCAAGTTTGTTCAAATGAAGGGCCACGCCCTTTTCCAAGGGGAGATAATCATGAATTTGTTAAAAATTAATGGCATTTTTAAAAAATCTTCTTCTCCAAAACCACTGAGCCAGGAAAAATGAAACTCATGTGGAATCATCCTCAGGTAGTGTAGATTCAAGTTTGTTCAAATCATGACCCCCGGGGCAAGGGTGGGGCCAAAATGGCCGACCCAAGTTTTACAAAGGAATATATAAGAAAAATCTTTAAAAATCTTCTTCTCCAGAACCACTGGGCCAGGAAAGATGAAACTCATGTGGAATCATCCCCAGGTAGTGTAGATTCAAGTTTGTTCAAATCATGACCCCCAGGGCAAGGATGGGGCCAAAATGGCCGACCCAAGTTTTACAAAGGAATATATAGGAAAAATCTTTAAAAATCTTCTTCTCCAGAACCACTGGGCCAGGAAAGATGAAACTCATGTGGAATCATCCTCAGGTAGTGTAGATTCAAGTTTGTTCAAATCATGACCCTCGGGGCAAGGGTGGGGCCAAAATGGCTGACCCTAGTTTTACATAGGAATATATAAGAAAAATCTTTAAAAATCTTCTTCTCCAGAACCACTGGGCCAGGAAAGATGAAACTCATGTGGAATCATCCCCAGGTAGTGTAGATTCAAGTTTGTTCAAATCATGACCCCCGGGGCAAGGGTGGGGCCAAAATGGCCGACCAAAGTTTTACATAGGAATATATAAGAAAAATCTTCTTCTCCAGAACCACTGGGCCAGGAAAGATGAAACTCATGTGGAATCATCCTCAGGTGATGTAGATTCAAGTTTGTGCAAATCATGACCCCCGGGGCAAGGGTGGGGCCAAAATGGCAGACCCAAGTTTTACATAGGAATATTTTGGAAATATCTTTAAAAATCATTCTCAAGAACCACTGGGCCAGGAAAGATGAAACTCATGTGGAATCATCCTCAGGTAGTGCAGATTCAAGTTTGTTCAAATCATGACCCCCGGGGCTAGGATGGGGCCAATATGGCCGACCCAAGTTTTACATAGGGATATATAGGGAAACCTTTTAAAATCTTCTTTTCAAGTACTTCAAAGCTATGACTAGTGATATGTGGAATCATCCTCAGGTAGTGTAGATTCTATTTTTTTCAAATGATGAACGCCTGGAGGGGGGGGGGGGGGAGTAAATTCCAATGTGCTCAGGTGAGCGCTGTGGCCCCTGGGCCTCTTGTTGTAGTTAAGCTGTGTAGTTACATAAAGTGGCATATATCTATTTAAATAATATTGAAGTTTTGAAAACAAAGTCGGGAAATGTCCATATTCACCACCAAAGGAGTCCTTTATTGTTGTATTGTATGGTCCAGGTTCAAATGAATTAGATAATGAAATGTGCATGACAAAAACATTTTCATTAACAAACTTCCATCACAAAAGTATTAAATATCAGGATTACAAATAATAATGAATAAAAATATTATTATAAATAAAAAAATAATGTGTGAAGTTTACAGCTCTCTTTGACATAAAGTAATGTTCAGTAGCCTTTATTAAGACATAACTGCTTTCTAAATTAGTGGCAGATGCAGTGACCCTGTCTGGGGGCCCTGTCATTCAGAGAATTCGACTCCAGGAGGAGGCAGAGAACCAAGTGACTGGACAGAGTATGATGATGGACGACGACCTGCTTCAGTATTACCACTTCCTGGCCGACAAAGGGGACGTCCAGGCCCAGGTGGTGCTGGGGCAGCTCTACTTCCAGGGAGGGAGGGGCGTTGGCATCAATCACGAGGTAAGACATCAGACTTAGTTATCAGGGAGGGTGGGGCGTGGGCATTAATCACGAGGTAAGACATCAAATTTAGTTATCAGCGAGGGTGGGGCAAGGGCATCAATCACGAGGTAAGACATCAAACTTAGTTATCAGGGAGGGAGGGGCGAGGGCATCAATCACGAGTTAAGACATCAAACTTAGTTATCAGGGAGGGAGGGGCAGAGCTGCCAACCCTTACGATTTTGGCGTAAGACGTACGAAATAAGCGTCTAAAATACGCCTTACGATTTCTCTTTTTATTCTTCCGATTTCAGTTTTTCTCGTTCAAAGTTTATAATACCTGTATTTTCATAGCTGGCAGTCCATAGTATCTACATTATCATGTATTCATAATTCTTACAACGTTTGCTTGTATCATCGTTTCATTTTTAGAAGGCCAATCACATTCATGTCAATGTTTTAAAGTAAACAAAATGGAAACAACTATGTCTCAGATCGCATGTTCATTTACAAAACATCTTCAGTGTCAGGGGGCTTAGGTGGTCCCTAGACCCCGCCTTACTATTTGTCATTTAAGAATGTTGGCAGCTCTGGAGGGGCGTGGGCAGTTATCAGGGAGGTAAGACATCAAACTTAGTTATCAGGGAGAGAGGGGCGTGGGCAGTTATCAGGGAGGTAAGACATCAAACTTAGTTATCAGGAAGAGAGGGGCGAGGGCATCAATCTTGAGGTAAGACATCAAACTTAGTTATCAGGGAGGGAGGGGCGAGGGCATCAATCACGAGGTAAGACATCAAACTTAGTTATCAGGGAGGGAGGGGCATGGGCATCAATCACGAGTTAAGACATCAAACTTAGTTATCAGGAAGGGAGGGGCATGGGCATCAATCACGAGGTAAGACATCAAACTTAGTTACCAGGGTGGGCAGGGCGTGGCATCAATCACGAGGTAAGACATCAAACTTAGTTATCAGGGAGGGAGGGTTGTGGGCATCAATCACGAGGTAAGACATCAAACTTAGATATTAGGGTGGGAGGGGCGTGGGCATCAATCACGAGGTAAGACATCAAACTTAGTTATCAGGGAGGGAGGGGTGTGGGCATCAATCATGTGGTAAGACATCAGACTTAGTTATCAGGGAGGGAGGGGCGTGGGCATCAATCACGAGGTAAGACATCAAACTTTGTTATCAGGGTGGGAGGGGCATAGGCATCAATCATGAGGTAAGACATCAGACTTAGTTATCAGGGTGGGCATGGGCATCAAACATTAGGTTAGACATAAAACTTAACTAGCACTTAAATATGGATATAGATAAGTAAATATTTTAAAGAATACTTTAAAGACCTCCCAGTTTAAAATATTAAATGAAAAATCAGAGACAAATTTCCAATAATTAAACATTTCTTTTAAATTTTTTATTGCCATCTTCATAATGTTTTTTTTCAAAGAGAAATTTTTTGTATGTTTTAAATTGAATATTTTAGGGAATCAACTCAAAGACTTATTAGTTTACGAAAAAATCACATGAATGCTTATTGCTTTGATGTATACTATTACTTTTATTTATTTCAGAGAGCCCTGCACTATTTCCTGATGGCAGCAGAGTCTGGTAATGCCAATGCTTTCGCTTTTCTTGGAAAGGTCAGTTATAGATACACAGGTTCAAAATTAGCAAAGTCAATAACTCTCAATAACTTTAGTCATTCTGCTTCCTTTAGGTAGTGTAATGGTAAATCATACACTTTTTAATTACAGATGTACTCAGAGGGCAGCCCTGCAGTAAAACAAAGTAACGAGACAGCATTTAATTACTTCAAAAAAGCTGCTGACAAGGTAGGGCTCCAGACTTCTGTCTGTAAATCACATTAAAATCTTCGCGTATTAGGGATTTTTTAATTAAAACAATATAAATAGACTTATATATTCACTCACACCTTGATATCTCCAATATTGTGGGGTTGTTGAAAAAAATATGAGATAGGCAAGAGATTAAGAAATCTGAGTTTTAAAGTCTAGAATTCACGATGGTGATCACTGTCACTTCAGTGTTATCATGGCATTGAGCATGAAGTACTGATATACAAGAAACTGTACAGTAACAACATACATGTTAACTCTCCCGATTTAGGCGGGAGTCTACCGCTTTTTCACTCCATCTCCCGCCTACCGATTTAATTCAGAAATCTACCGCTTTTCTACAAAAGCTCTATCCAAAGTATTTTTGGTTCGCTTGGGTATCCATTTTTGAAGCCACTCTCATAAAATCTCGCTAGATATCGCGTGATTTGACTCGGAATCATACAAACCCTTTTTTGTACATAGATTTCAAGCACGGATTTGACAACGACAACAACATAAGACTACCAGTGATTACATTGGTTACGATAAATTAATCAACATCCCTGCCATGAAAAAGGAGATGCAGCTTTTAAGAATTAGATGAAAACATTTGACATCGTCTTTAAAAGCACAAAAGCTCACAACTTTATCAATAAAGTCAATAGAAATCATCGATTGACCAAGCCATGTGGCACATCTCTTCTTTCGTTTTCGATCATCGCTGGAAATCTGATATATATAACGAAAGATACGAACTTGTTTAGATCTAGATTAAACCATGCCATCATTTGTTTTGTTTAAAAACTGAATGACATTCAGAATTATTGCTTCTAGGCTATTTCAGCAAAGATCACTCTTCAAAAGGCTAAGTAAAGCTCCAAGCAAAATGATGAGCATGAAAAATTTTTGAATTTGTACAATTTATGTCAAACTTAAGGTGTTTCTGTCTTCTTATTGCTGTTGATATTTAAGATTAATTAGTGTAGGTACCTGATTTCATTTAAGGCTTATAATATACATGTATATTACATGAAAGATATCGATAATCCAAGCGTTAAACAACACGCGCGCAATGTTACCGCTTTTGAGGTCTGAATCTCCCTCTTTTTCATCACAATAGGTTAACATGTATGGTAACAAATTAAAAATAGATTTTTTCCTTCTCTTAATTGATAGATTACAGTGTAACGGGTTATTTTAGCGGGGTACTAATTTTGGCGTTTTGATGATAGTCTGCTAAAATTTTAATCGCTAAAATAGTCAGACTCTTCTTAGTGTCCATCTGCAAAGAGCTGAAACCCTGCGTCCACTAAAATAAATTACGCCAAAATTATTGGCATACCTTTGAGCCGACAAAAGGCCAAATTTTACACCCACCAATAAAACCTGCTATACAGTATCAGACTTGAATACATCTTTCAAATAAAAAAAACTGTTGCTGTTAGTTATTGTATATTAGTCATTATTATAAAGATAAACTTTAGTATGTCATATCTACGATGATTTACATTTCGTAATTAAGATTTTGTTATGAACTTGGTAAGTGACCTTTGTGTTTTATGTGACATATACCACTTTTGAATTTGTTTTTAATTAATTGTAAATGATACATACTTGATAATGATTAATTCAAATTCTATTGCTTCGGCCACTTTAATTTAAAGGCATGTAGATTATGATACAGTATTTGTATGATAAAATTTTGTAAACTGATCCTTGGTCATTTTTGAGAGTTAAGAAATATGTAATAAATATAGCACATTGGTTTTCATGCATATTCAGGAAAAGGTTAAATGAATTTAATCCTCTGAATTAGTTAGGTTTTTTTTGGGGGGGGGGTTGAAGAAATTAATGTAAATTAGGAAGTATATTCTACAAATACATGTAGTTGTTTTCTTGTGCATTTGCTGCGCTGATACTTAGACACATACATTTTTGATGTAGCTTGTTTTTTTTATATGGAGTTTGTTTTCAACTTCTACAGCAATCATCAATGTTTTATAATTGCATTTTTTTTTGCTAAATAAATGCATTACAAATGCCCCTAATCTTTAAACTGATAAAGTTTTACTCTTGGTTTCCAGGGCAATCCCGTGGGACAGACAGGACTGGGGATGCTGTACATGTATGGAAAAGGGGTAGACAAGGTCAGTTTGATATCTCTGATTACTGTGTTTATGGAGAATCTCCCTTTCTTATGTTCACCTTCTTTACCCCCATTCTGTGCAAGTGAATTTTACTGGAATTGCACAATATGATATCTTTAAAGATACAGCTGCATTATATATGATTGTGTTTTAAAATGGGTTTTAAACTTAAACAAAAATGGGTTTTTAGCTCACCTCAACGAAGTTGGGGGAGCTTATGTAATACCCTCGGCGTCGGCGTCGGTGTCGGCGTCGGCGTCGGTGTCGGCGTCCACGTCGGCGTCGGCGTCCCAGGTTAAGGTTAAGTTTTTTGGAGCAGTTTTCTTTTTAAGTACTTCTATGTCCTATATTGATTAAACATGCATGGAAGATGGTTCTAGTGTGTTTCATTGTACCAGTCAAAGTTTCAGATGCTGCAATTTCAGCAAAGGAATGACTAGGTTAATGTTTTTGGAGCAGGTTAACATTTTTGGTGCAGTTTTTGGTGTAAGTTTCATTTCCAAGTAACTATAATCCCTATGTTGACCAAACTTGCATGGATGATACATCTTAGGATGGATACTACCGGGCTTGCTTCGGATGCTGAATCTGACCTACATTTTCCGGTTGAGTGAACAGGTTAAAGTTTTTGGTGTAGGTTTCATTTCCAAGTATCTATAATCCCTATATTGACCAAACTTGCATGGATGATACATCTTAGGATGGATACTACCGGGCTTGCTTCGGATGCTGAATCTGACCTACATTTTCCGGTTGAGTGAACAGGTGAAAGTTTTTGGTGCAGGTTTCATTTCCAAGTAACTATAAGTCCTATGTTGACCAAACTTGCATGGATGATACATCTAAGGATGGATACTACCGGGCTTGCTTCGGATGCTGAATCTGACCTACATTTTCCGGTTGAATGAACAGGTGAAAGTTTTTGGTGCAGGTTTCATTTGCAAGTAACTATAAGCCCTATGTTGACCAAACTTGCATGGATGATACATCTAAGGATGGATACTACCGGGCTTGCTTCGGATGCTGAATCTGACCTACATTTTCCAGTTGAGTGAATAGGATAAAGTTTTTGGTGCATGTTTCATTTGCAAGTAACTATAAGCCCTATGTTGACCAAACTTGCATGGATGATACATCTAAGGATGCATACTACCGGGCTTGCTTCAGATGCTGAATCTGACCTACATTTTCTGGTTGAGTGAACAGGGTAAAGTTTTTGGTGCAGGTTTCATTTGCAAGTATATATGAGCCCTATGTTGACCAAACTTGCATGTTTGATACATCTAAGGATGCATACTACTGGGCTTGCTTCAGATGCTGAATCTGACCTACATTTTCCAGTTGAGTGAACAGGTTAAAGTTTTTGGTGCATGTTTCATTTGCAAGTAACTATAAGCCCTATGTTGACCAAACTTGCATGGATGATACATCTAAGGATGCACACTACCGGGCTTGCTTCGGGGATGTTCCGCTTGAGTGAACAGGTTAAAGTTTTCATCAATAGATGAAAATTCTCAAATTTGCTTCATATGCTGGATTTTGATTACATTTTCATGAAGAAGAACTAGTTTAAATTTTTTATGTAGGTCTATTTCAAAGTATCAGATAAAATTGCTTAAATATTTTCATTTTTGGAATGTACACTTTTTGTTGGTTAATTGTGTGACTTTGCCTTACTTAAAGACAACATTCGTTGAGGTGAGCTCTGTAATCTCTGATTACCTATGTTTTCGGTATTGCATAATGAAATGGGCAAGATTTTACAGTGTATGTATAGTATATAGAATTTTATTATTATGTCCTGAAACAAAAAAATAAGAATTTCAGTTTCTTTGCAAGTGCCTGCATGTACTTGTACTAATATGTGCTGTACAAATTAGAGCCCATGGGGAACAACAGATATTACAACTTTTGTTTTAGTCATATTTATCTGTATGCTACAATACAATCACAGATAAAAACACATTCTGTTTGTAAAAATTAAGAAGTAATGAAAGAAAAAGGAAATGATAGAGAGGAAGGGCTTATTTGCCGTATGACTGGGTTTGGATGTTTAATGATGTTCTCTGTTAACCATTAGTGTTGTGATTATGAGGATCTGAAGGTTATTGATTACAGTTACAGGCAGATTTAATTCACGTGTACAAGTGTTGTTATAATGTCATTTGCTTTAGAATACATCTAACAAGCTATATTTCTTGGTAAAATTGTATACCTGACAAATTTGCTTTCTGAAGTAAAAAAAGACTAAATTACTCTGGGGAAAATCTATATCAGGAATATAATTTTCTTTTGAAATGCTTCTTATGAATGCTATTCCTGTGAACATTGCACCTCTGATTTATTTCCTATTCTAATAAAGAACTATCCAAATTTTCATATATTTTTGAAAACACTCTGATTTTTCATGTGAAACATGAAATAGTGTAAGTCCTCAAGCTATGCTTTTAAGTATACATTTTTTTGCAGTGTTTGTTATTTTTCCTTGTTTTTTGCAAGAAAATAGAGACAATATACTGGTTTTTGGTAAAACTAGCAGTTGAAAGAAAACCATTAATTTTGGTTTTACACAAAGAGAACACACCTTTAAAAGAATTCACCCTTTAAATCACAGACCATGTGGTAAAAAAAATGGATTTTCCTGAATGAAATATATCCTGTTTTTAGCAAAACAAACAAATAAACAGATGAACTGAACCTGGGGCATACTTTCTTGTACCAAGAAGAAAGGAAATGCATGTCTTTTATGAATTTTAAGTGGCAATCTCATGCTATTTTCTATACATTTCATAAAGTGATGAGTGAAAACATATGGTTGGTATAATATACATGACGTATGTTAACAAATAATTAAAAAAAATTTGCTTATTTTGACATGTAGTGATGTAATATGAGGTTTGATGCTTTAGATGAACTAGCTGGTATACAAAGATTTTATGAATACAATGTATTAAGAGATGTGGAATGTTGTGACATAGTTATGACGTATACTGTATAGAAACACAAATTTTTGTGGGGTAAAATTTCATGTATTTGTCATCAAAAATAGTTTTGTGGGCATTTAATTTCATTGTTTTTAAAGTAACTCTATTCAATATATAGTCATATAAAATTTCATGTGGGATTTAATTTCGTTGATAATTGTTAACAAAGAAATAAACAAAATTTCATACCCACAAATATTTGTGCTTTTACAGTAAGTGATACAGATTTTATTGTAAATGTTGTTAAACTCTTGCTCTTTTATAAAGATAGGAATCACTAAAATGCAGCTTAACTTTATTTCCGCTTTTTGTTCATAAAACTTAGTTTCAAAATATACAATTTTTAAAATCATAACTTGAATAGAAGAGCAAAAATGTGCTTTGATATCATGTGCACATATATTTGTGTTTTACAGGATTTTACTAAGGCACACAAGTATTTTAGTTTGGCTGCTGACCAGGGTTGGGTAGATGGACAGTTACAGCTGGCTCTGATGCATTATGGTTAGTTCTGCTAAATACAGCTTCTCTTCATGTTTTTTATTGACTAGTTATCTTGGAAATCTAAGTTTGCACAATATTTTGTGTACATATTTGTAATCAAAAAATGGCTTTTTAACTTAAAAAAATATCTTGAATAAGTAAGCAGATTCTCCAAGATTTACACTTGCCCATTTTTGTTTATGTTTAGGTGGTAAGGGAGTGCGTCGGGATTACAAGCTGGCAGTCAAGTATTTTAACCTGGCCTCACAGGGTGGACACTTGCTGGCCTTCTATAATCTGGCTCAGATGCATGCCACTGGTACAGGGGTACTCAGAAACTGTCACACTGCGGTAGAGGTAATTCAAACATCAAATAACACTACATAAGGCCGGAATTAAAAATATCTTTGTTTCCCCTAACCCGACCCTGAATTCTCAAGGTGGGTCGGTAGGTAGGTAAACAATTTTATTTTATGACAGCAGCTTTGAAAATACGTTCTAAAATTTAATAGAAAAAAAATTTTAATTAAGAAAAGTACAAAAGAAAGCGATTTGGAAACAAAATGCTAGGTATCAAACATATGCTGTTTAAACATGTTAAAGGAAAATTCATGATTAATTATACAACTGTTATTTAGTTGAACTTGTGAGATATCTCACGCCAGAGTACATTTATATAGATCGTGTTCTCAAATACGCAAAGACCGGACATTTATTTTTTTAAACCTTCCATCAGCCCCCAGCGCTTATAGACAGTGTACTTTTTGAGGGATATCAGATTTGCAGTGTTTCTAGAGCATTTTGCTTAAGAGTTAAGAAGTAAGTGTCTAATTTTATGTCGCAGGTCCAAATACCAATAAGGAACGTTGAAAACAGTCTTTCAAAAGGGACCATAAAAACTTATGTCCAGTCTCGCAAAAGATGCTGGCTCAAAAAAGATCCCTTACTGCTTAATGGCAAAAAAGTGCTGAGTACGTCTAAATTTGGAGCAATGGGGAAATGTTCAAATGTCGTCCAAACAAATCTCGAAGGGATTAAAAGCAAAGAAACAACCAATCTTCGAGGGCGTAATTAAAGAAAAATACACTGGGCATCTCAGGAAGCTGAATCATGATTTCAAAACTATTTGTAAAGAGTATTTAAACAATGTTTAATTGAACCAAACCGAATCTACAAATGATAAAAAGGCTACATGTATATACAGTGTCATAGTCACGAAGTTTAATCCATAAATAAAGGCATTAAAGAAAGAAAATCTGAATTATATTGATCAGGATGAATATGCAGACATATTTACAACAACTCCTATAGTTCCGTAATGGCATATAGTAAACATAGGAACATAGATGAAATAGTTATTAGATCAAAACTCAAATTAAATAAAATGCAGTGAAACTGAAAGATGTGTTCACTAGGTGGGCCCCTCTTCTGCTCATTAGGCGGGCCTTACATGTACCATGTATTACGTACCTTAAATTCAACAGACAGGTTTGTTTGTTGTTTACCGTCCCTTTCGAAAATTTATTCACTCACATGGAGAGGCCAAGACACCTCCGAAACACTCTTAATTAGTCGTGGTAAATTTTATTATCAAATTATTTCGAGAGTGAAGAATTCTAGTTAGCTAAAGGCATAAGATTGAGACGTCGCCGTTGTTTTATTAAGAACTTTTTCTCGGTAATCACATTTTGGCGCCATTTTCTTCAACAAATCACAGTAGAACAATGTCGGTCGTTCTGCTAAAAACTGATTTTGATGAAATTGTATTTTATGAAACTTAGTTAACAATAAAAAAAAATAACTGAATCTTCTCATTTAAAAAATCTTTTCAGTCGGTGCGATTTAATTGGGTCGGTCGCGTTAGGGGAAACAAAGGTATATTTTATTTTGGCATAATAAAATACTGTGGTTTCATCATTATTCGTGGAAAACCAGTTTTTGTGGATTTTGTTGTTGAGTCGATGAAGGAAACGATGATAGATAATTTTTTTTCTTTTAGGACCATTATCCACAAATTTACATATCCTCAAAACTGTGAATTTTACTAAATCCACGAAAATTGATGCCCACAAATATTAATGAAACCACAGTACGATAATGAAAATTTTTAAAATGTGTCATTGGTTTGCTTGTTAAATGTTAAAAGTTAAAAAAGCAGTGTTGCTACTTGGGGTTTTGTGATACAGAAGAGGTCCATTTGATACATTGATACATATATTGAAGTTTCAATCTTTCTTAGAAATATAATATGCATGTTTTGGTCTTAATATTAGAACATTTGTGTATACATAAACATTGTTTGAGAAATTGAAAATCCCAAAGGAAAGTCAATTTTATTTTTTCTAGCAATTAATAATCATGGTTTTAGAGGGGGGCTATGGGGACAGTTTTTATTGTATACTCACTATACTGTCTGAGACGATGTAAATTATTCTGACAAAAAGTATCTTCTTTCAGCTGTTTAAAAATGTGGCTGAGAGAGGCCGGTGGGCAGAAATGTTACCTGAGGCATACAACATGTACAAAGAGGGTCACGTCTCCCAGGCCCTCATGAAGTATGTCTTCCTGGCGGAGTTAGGGTATGAGGTGGCTCAGTCCAATGTAGCCTATATGTTAGACCAAGGTAAGCATCATTAAAGTATTAAAAAAAACAAAGTCTGTTAGGAAGTTCATGTATAACTGGTTCTAACAAAATTATTCTCATTTATGTAGACACTTTCTGTTTTATCATAAGAGAGATTTTTTTCTAAATAAAGTTTCATTTGCCTTAGAATTCCATAAGAAATTGATTGACTTTCCAGGGGATACTGGGATGTTTGAAGATACAGAGGTATTACAGAGGGCCCTGCTTCAGTGGACGCGGGCAGCCTCTCAGGGTTCCACTGTGGCCCGCGTTAAGATGGGCGACTATCATTACTATGGATTTGGTACGAAGATTGACTATGAGACAGCTGCTAGTCATTATCGCCTGGCCTCTGAACAACAACACAGTGCCCAGGCCATGTTTAATCTGGGATATATGCATGAACAAGGACTTGGTCTAAAACAGGTATATAAATACTTTCCATATGAAATATTTCTCTCCGAGTTATTTCCCTTGGCCACCATCTTAGTGGTCAACCTGATAATTTTTCCTCTTTGTCTTACCAAATAGTAGAGGGTGTAGCAGAAATACTTCGGGAAAAATCTTCATGGAATGAAAAATATAAATAAAGGAGGCTTAAACAAATGCATATTTTTCAGAAAAACAATGCTTCCTACCCCACAATTGCCAGTATAAAAAATTACAGTTTGTAGAATAATGAAGGAATATGAGCATGCTGACCTCCAATATGATATGTCAATATAGGCCTACTGAAAACTGTCTATGATTTTAACTAAAATAGGGTTTTCAGCATTATATGGTTTTCATAGTATATCTATGGTTGTACATTGTACATTTGTGGCCTGTGAGATTGACACCCACACCCCAAAAGCAAAATATTGAATCATTCTTGCTTAAGTATGGCTTTGAAATGCAATGACAATATTAAAAATAATGCATAAGTTTTATTGCCTCTGAAGGATGAAGTCATACCATATAAATTTTCAAATTTCAAACTTGAACAAAAAAAATCAGAATAGCTTTACACTGGAAATAAAATCATATAGTGTCCTGAAATTACTTTTTTGATGCAGTATATTTATTTAGAACAGAACCAGCTATATATATTTGTAGATAAAACACTAAAAGTGAAGTTTTGTTTTAGGATGTACACCTGGCCAAAAGATTTTATGACATGGCAGCAGAAACCAGTGTGGATGCTCATATTCCTGTCTCTCTAGCCCTCGTCAAACTGGGTTTATTTTACGGTCTGGATGTGTTTAGTAAAGAGGTAATTATATCTTCATTTATTTACTTAATTATTGTAGAAAAGGTGTTAAAATAGCGGTCCCTGGCATGGGATCAGAAGCTTGAGATATTTGTAGATTAGTATTGTGTTCGAGCAGTGGTATGTCTTGTCTAGACACAAGTTTATTCAGCATCAGTAATGTTCACACTGTGAGCTTGAGATCTATTTTAGGTTCCAGTTTGTATTTTTGTATCCATGTTTATTGTTATTGTTAAAGAGGTCTGCAGCACTTTCTGAGGATACAACCCCTCAGTTTCAGTCACTGGTTTGATTAAGATAGATGTGTCATGCAATCTTGTTTTCAATTCACAGATAAGCTGATAGAAGTCAAATAAGTTCAGAGGAACGTGATAGCCAGGTCACAAGTTTGGCTGCACTGCTAACATTTCTTTATTGATTAATTAAATTTTACAATAACAATGGAGAGGAAAAGTAGAAATTGAATAAGGGATAAAAAGGTTAAATTGATAAGACATGCATTTAAATAGAAACATTTAGTGTGGAAAATAAAATTAATGACCATGGATATATTTAAAAAATGCTAACTCAAGGGATAGAAGATGAATGAAAATGAGATGAAATCTATGTAGAACATTCACTTGATGATTGTTTCGTGATTGCGGTTTAAAATTGAGAATACAATAGTACAAGTTTAATGTACTTCTATCATTAGTATGTCTCAAAAGTCCTATACATCAACATTGAGAATTTATCAAGTTCTTGCCTTGGTAAATTCTTCAATTGTATTGAATTAATATGATATTCTGATTAGGTTGAGTTAATTTATATAGAGATGTAGAACCTACTTGGTGCAGATTTGATTTAAGAGTACACTTGGGTGAAGTGATTTGTTACTTAGAAGATGCAAAAGCAGGTTGTCGATTTTAAAAATACATGCAGTAGTTAAAATAAGGTTTTAAAAAAGCAGAGTACAACGTGAAAGGGATGAAAGAAAATTGAATACAGACTGAAATGGAGTAACTCCGAGTAAGGAAATTTGAAAGGGGGAAAGACTGGTGTACAATGATTAGTGTTTTAAACTGAAGTATTGGCTGTTAATTAGTAATTTAGACACTGATCTAATATCTCTTCCAATCTACACATACTGATTTATCCTTGAGGGAAATTTATATTTATCCAGATAAAAGTTATGGTCTATATCCTGTACTTGACAACAAACTTTTGTTAGCTTGAATGATCAAAGACAGACCAAAGCTAGGGGAAAACCCTGTGTCCTGTTGTCACTCTTTAATGGAGTAAAAATCCTGTACAGAGAAGCCACCAAACTGTGTAGGCAAAAATAGGGTGTAAAGCCAGGAATATCTTGTATTACCAGTTAAGATGTGGTAATATAGTGTAACACACAATCTTGTACAGTTAGCTTTTATGAATGAAATTCTGCTGTTAAACAAATGTTTGAAGGAGTCTATTAGAGAACTGAGTGCTAATCTGTCAGAAGAGGAGTGTGGGTGCTGTTAAGCTGTTAGGAAATGGCCTGCTACTTTAAAAAACTGTGAATGTATATTGATTCAAGTACCTTTTTCTATGATCTCTAAGTATTATTGCCTGCTTTATTGTCCCTGCCAGAAATTTTTTGTAGATGATTATATGTGTCACAGAGTGCTATATCTGATTGCCATATTGCATTGTTTTAGGAGGAATTCTGCTTATCAGATTTTTTTTTTCTCACTAAACACAAAAAGCAGTAATTTGTGATGATTTGAGAATGCTTCAGTTCCTTGGAATTCATTAGGTTTTATGTCTGCAGTAGGAGATAAACAGAGCTGGTCTTCTTCCCTGATGAGATGTACAATCGAATGTGACCCCTAGAGTGCATGGCAAATCAGTGGCATAGGAAATTCTCCTGTTCCAAATCAAGCAGGTTACTTGATTATGAAGTTTTTTAAAGCACTGGGATCAGGAAATGGCACAAATTAAGAGTAATGTGTAAAATCAGATTGATTTACTGCTACTACAGAACATTAATGTCACATACCAGCTGATGAGATCTTGTTCTGATTAATTTTGAGGACTGGGATAAAATGTAGATTCTAGAAGTTTGAACTGTGTAATTCCATCAGATTAACTTTAGCCAATAGTTAATACAAGAGAAGTTTAAATATTGTAAATGACTCTCTGGATGACTACAGCACTTATATATTGAGCTCAATCTTTAGAGGAACACCACCGTATACCCTCAAACTAAAGAGAAAATAATACACTTGTAATTTAATTAAAGAAAAAAAAGCAGGTATCAGAATATTAAAGAAAATTAAGAAATATAAAGGTAGGGTGGGGCCACGTGGGACAATCAATGTTTTACATAGAAGTATATAGAAAAATCTTCAGAAAACTTCTTCTCAAGAACTGCAAAGCTATGATTGGTCATATTTACATGGAACCATTCTCTGATGGTGTAGATTCATGTTTGTTCAAATCTCTCAGGGGTAGATGTGGACCATTTATGCATTTAAGCTTTTCA